TTTTTTTTTTTTTTTTTTTGAGATGAAGTCCTGCTGTGTTGTCCAGGCTGGAGTGCAGTGGCGCGATTTTGGCTCACTGAAGCCTCTGCCTCCCGGGTTCAAGCAATTCTCCTGCCTCAGCCTCCCTAGTAGCTGGGACTACAGGCACATGCCACCATGCCCGGCTAATTTTTGTATTTTTAGTAGGGATGGGGTTTTGCCATGTTAGCCAGGCTGGTCTTAAGTGTCTGACCTCAGGTGATCCTCCCTCCTCAGTCTTCCAAAGTGCTGGGATTACAGGGGTGAGCCATCTTGCCTGGCCCCATCATTAGATCTTTAAATACCAGTATCTGCAAGTCTTTTCCTCTTGAGTCAGCCAGTATTCCTGGAAGGAAATTCCTCATTTTCCTAACTGGAGATACAAACTTGGCTGCGTTGTCCTCGATCCCTGGACTGGAAAGGGATTCACGGTGTTGGTGGTCAGGACGCCTTCTTTTAGTTTTCTGTATGTGTCTCACGCGTGTCCTCAGCTGTGTTAACACCTCTTGAGATTATCCCTCTCAGTCTTTGCCAGAGATAGGAAGGTGGGCTGCTTCCTGAGCTGCCTTGGATCAGAGGGGAGACCTCAGGCGAGTGGGTAGGAATTTGCCCAAGGAGCAATGAGACAAGCCACTGTTTCACCCCCTCCATCCTTCCACTTTCAAATGTATGTGGTGCCTCCAAAGCCCGAACTTTTCTTGGAGTTATGTGGCTTGAGTGAGCTTGCTTTTTGCTGGTATCCCTTGTACCTTCTCCCCCATCTCCTAGCAAAGCTTGTATTTGTACTTCTTTCTGTAGGCTAGCAAATCAGTCAGTTACGTAACCCTTGTTACTTTTTTAGCTTCTGAAGTTTTGTTGACCCCCATAGCCTGCTCGTGCCCATGTTCTTTTCTTTCTGTCCGTGTACACTTATGCTTTATACAGCTTCTTTACATGCTTTTTTGTGGGGCTTCTGGGAAGCAGAGCTTCACATGTTCAATCCAGCATGTTGGATTAGAAGTCTCCCAACCTTGGCCGGGCGTGGTGGCTCACGCCTGTAATCCCAGCACTTTGGGAGCTCAAGGCGGGTGGGTCATGAGGTCAGGAGATCGAGACCATCCTGACCAACATGATGAAACCCTGTCTCTACTAAAAATACAGAAATTAGCTGGGTAGGGTGGGACTTGCCTGTGGCAGGAGAATCATTTTAGCCTAGGAGGCAGAAGGTTGCAGTGAGCTGAGATTGCCTCACTGCACTCCAGCCTGGGTGACAGAATGAGACTCTGTCTCAGAAAAAGAGTCTCCCATCCTCTGGTGTATTCTCATTCTCTTGTTATTTTTATTTTATTTTATTTTTTTAGAGACAGGGTTTCACCATGTTGGCCAGGCTGGTCTTGAACTCCTAACCTTGTGATCCACCCGCCTGGCCTCCCAAAGTGTTGGGATCACAGACGTGAGCCACTGCACCCAGCCTGGTGTATTCTCATTCTCAAGATTACCTGCCAAACACTGATACTCCCTTGTTTTTCCTTTTTCTGACATGAACTGTACGTTCCAGGCAGGACAGAAATCATTAGTGTATTCCTTCCTAACCACAAAGTGAATTTACCCTTATAACCACCAGCCAGGTCAAGACACAGAATATTACCAGCACTCAGAAGCCGCCTTGTAGTCCTACCCCATCCCCCATCACTACTCCTTCCTTCCTCCCCATGGTCATCACTGTCTTGGCTTCTAATGCCAGAGTCTGTTTTTAAATTCTGTGTGCATAGACCATATAGTATGTATTCTTTTTGTCTGATTTCTTTTGCTCAACATTAAGTTCATGAGAGTCTTCTATATTATTGTGTGTATTAGTAGTTCCTGTAGTTTTAGTAACTTCATAGCATTCCATTGTAGGGATATACCACAGTTTATTCATTGTATTATTGCTGGGTTGTTTCTGGTTCTTGGCTATTACGAGCAGTACTGCTGTGACCACTCTCAGGTGTGTCTTTTGGAGCATGTGTGCAGCTTTCCATCATGCACAGCTAGAGGTAGAGTGGTGGGGTAATAGGGTGTGTGCATCTCAGCTGCAGTAGAAACTGCCAAATAGTGTCCAGGCACGGTGGTTCATGTCTGTAATCTGGCACTTTGGGAGGTCTAGGTGGGTGGATCACCTGAGGTCAGGAGCTCGAGACCAGCCTGGACAACATGGTGAAACCCTGTCTCTACTTAAAATACAAAAATTAGCCAGGTGTGGTGGTGTGCACCTGTAATACCATGAGATTCTGTCTCAAAGAAAAAAACAAAACAAAACTGCTAAATAGCTCTTCTGAGTACTTGTACCCTCTCACCCTTCTGTCACTGTGTATGGGGACTCTAGGAGCTCTGGTCCTCGCTAGCACTTGGAATTGCTGATGCTTTTACTTTTAGCCCTCCTGATGGGTTTGTTCGGGAATCATATTATGATTTTAACTTCCACTCCTTAAAGCACCCTTGGCTCTGAAGTTTTAATTATTAATGCATGTCTTCCTTTTTGAAGTACTCTGAAAGGTATGTTGTGCATGCATTTTGGAAAGTGGCGCTATCTTTTCTAAAATACAGTGTACCTTCTCGCTGTTAGAAGAGTTGTAGCATGGCCTTGGGCCTCCTGTTAGCTGCCTTGGAGAAGGGATTCTTGGGATTGTGGAGACTAGATCTGAGGAGGCCCCTTGGAGCTCTCAGACTAAGTTTTATTCTTTATTATTCCAGACTATTTAAGCTCACCATGTTCTGACTCTTCATAATAATGAGTAGCTTTCATTGTGCTTGTAAGTTTGGACTAATAGAATGATTTTTTTTTCCTTTTTGAGACAGAGTCTTGCTCTGTTGCCCAGGCTGGAGTGCAGTGGCACAGTCTCAGCTCAGTGCAGCCTCTGCCTCCTGTGTTCAAGCAATTCTTGTGCCTCAGCTTCCAGAATAGCTAGGACTCCAGGTGCATACCACCATGCCTGGCTAATGTTTGTGTTTTTAGTAGAGACAGGGTTTCATCATGTTGAACTGATGAATGCCTGGCCTCGAACTCCCAGCCTGAAGTGATCTGCCCGCATCAGCCTCCCAAACTGTTGGGATTACAGGCATGAGCCACTGTACCTGGCCAAAGTATTTTTTAAAGATGTGAATATCTTTTCTTGCAGCTAAGAAAGTTTGTCAGAGATAATTCTACTTTATTCTCCAGGTGGTTTCTCAGGAGAAATTAGAGGCAAGAAGCCAGCCAGGGAGTCCTGGGGTCTCATCCTTTGCAGAACAGTGTCCAGGGGCCTGATGTGTACATTCCCTGGGAGTAATAAGCCTCTGAGAAGCAGTGTATGCTAACCATGCTGTGGAAGAGAAACTTATTTATAAATCAGATACCAGTTACTAGTTTACTGATTGTTTGCCCAGGCATAGCTCTGACAGAGTCCCTGACTCATAGTAATTGCTCAGTGCATGCCGAACAGTGATTGGAATCAAGTCGTGGCTTGGAGCATGGTTTTGAATAATGGGAAATGGATGTTCTTAAGTACCATAGTCACCAAGATGATGCAACTAGATGGTTCATCCCTTTTCATTCTTAGGATATTTTTGTCAAGATTTAAATGGCCATCACTAGAATTCTAGCACTTTCTCCTTTGGATTGTCCTAGAGGCCCAGTGGGAAAGTATTCCCTAATTTCTTAAGAGAACAGTTGTGGGAAATATGCTGTCATGTCCAGTTAAATTGCAGATGTTTCTGGTTGAAGATGTTCCAGTCCTGAGAACTTCATGACATTAGCAGGACTTTGACAAGCCATCTCTTAGGGTGTGACATTATTGTAATTGGCCAGTATGTTTTTCTTCTTAACTTTGTCATTTGTTGATTTTAACTGTCCCCAAATACTGTGGGTAGAATGTATCTAGAATTGAGGCCTCCACCCTTGCAAAGAGGTCATGGATGCTGAGCAGTCCCCTGAGTGAAGGTTATAAAGAAGCAAATAGACTACACATGTCTATAAACTGCTCTTTGAGTGTCCCAAAGTTGGGGTGCTTCAAGTTCAGCTATAGGAAAAGCCTCAAACTGTTTATACTTTGCAAGAATTGGAAACTTCTAATTCAAGTTAAGTTTTATGTAATACCTAATAAGCTTCATGGAAGCTTCATCTTTTATCTGCTTGGACTTCTGCTTCCATAGGTTTTGTTAAAGGCTTTCATAGCGAACCTGAAGTCAAGCTCCCCTACCATTCGGCGGACAGCAGCTGGGTCAGCAGTGAGCGTCTGCCAGCACTCAAGAAGGACACAGTATTTCTACAGCTGGCTGCTAAATGTGCTCTTAGGTAAGGCGGAGGCGTACGAGTGGTAGAGTCTCCAGCATGCACTCAAGGTAGACCTTTGAAACCGTGAAAATCGGATGATCCCTCAGCTTCTGGACCAGGCTATTTGGCACTGGCTGAAAGAATGTGAACTGCCTTGGGTCTGCTGTGAGCCGGCATGGGTCTCTGTGACACTGCAGATGCAGCCGTGCCCAAGGACACCTACCTGTGCAGTGGGTGTGGGCCAGGGTGAGCCCTTCCTGCCATCCAGGGCCTGGCCCTCCATCTGTGCCAGCCCTGACTACCGTGAGTCTGTGAGGCTTGAGACTGTGCCTCGGGTCCCTGTGGGTTCTCTGTAGGTCAGCTGACAGTTTCTCCTGTTGTTTGGGTAACTGTGGAAATCATCACTGGCAAGTCCCCAAGTGAGCGTGTGGACGTGCGAAATGAAATGACCACCCAACTTTCAAAGACGGTGAAGCTCACAGGAAAGGAGCCTGCTAAGCCAGGACATGGGTGTGAAGCCACTTCCAGTGGGCCTTATGGTGCACTCATTCATGGCCATGTTCATGCCATCTTTGTCTCTCAAGATCTCTTCTTTTTTAACAAATTAAGCCGAGAATCTCCAAATAGTGAGTCAGATGTTAAGACACCTTGCTGCCCCCACAGGCTTACTGGTTCCTGTCGAGGATGAACACTCCACCCTGCTGATTCTTGGCGTGCTGCTCACCCTGAGGTATTTGGTGCCCTTGCTGCAGCAGCAGGTCAAGGACACAAGCCTGAAAGGCAGCTTTGGGGTGACACGGAAAGAAATGGAAGTCTCTCCCTCTGCAGAGCAGCTCGTCCAGGTAGGAGCACCGGGTTTACTCTAGGCCCTGCATGTAAACGACTGACATTCAAAGAACCAATTAATTTGGAAGAGAAGCGGCAGAACTGAGGGTTAGAGGTGTGGATTCTGGAGCTGCGCTGCTCAGTTCCATCCCGAGGTGCTGACTCCTAGCTGCCTTCCCTCTGTATGTCAGTGTCACTGTGAGTCAGATGCAGGTGATGCCTCCTCAGATGCTGTGTTACCTAAGCCCCTCAGAGACTACTGCTACCCTGTTTCTAAAACCAGAGGTCACATTATGTGTTCACCCGCCCAGTAAATATTGATTGAGCACCCACCGTGTGCTAGGCTCTGGGAATACAGTGGTGAGTATTTCAGATGCTGCCTCTGCCCTGTGGAGCCTGTGGCCATGCACACTGGTGTGGGCAGGGTGGAATGCTCACTCAAGGAGGTAGGGCGTGGTCCTTTGGGGTGTGGGAAGAAAATGTTGAAATTCTCTTTCCAATGCAGAGAAACCCTGCAGTAATTCTAATGTACTATAATTGGCAGTTGACTTCAGTTCTTTGTAGCATGCTTACTCAGGTCATTTCATTAACTTTTTAACCATGCAGCCTCATTTTAAGCAATTGGATTTTTTGAACTTTACTTAAAATGTTATGTCAGGTTTTTTACTGTGCTTAATATGTGCCATTTAGCTACATTTTTTAGGGTACAAAATTGTCAGTGGCTTGAAATGATTCTTACATAGAATCATGAATTGAAGATAATGCTAATAATTTAAGCACTGAGTTAGGTAGTGTTTATAAAGTGCTTAGAATGCTTCCTGGCACATGTTAAGGCCGTGTGAGTGCTGGTTATTCATAGACAGCTGAGCAAGAGTGGACTCTAAGAAAGTATTGGGGCTGAGAGTTCTATTCTGACCAGCTGCCCTTTGGTAATTTTACAGAATAAAAGCAGAGTCTCATGGGATATGACATTTAATTGTATTGCCCTCAAAAAAACATTGCTGAATGTTCTAAGAAGGGTGTTGCCATAGTAATAAAACATTTAGAATATAGTTTATTTCATCTTTACCGTACCTTGTTTTTTTTTTTTAAGCTTTTTATTAAGGAGAATTCCAAACATACAGAAGTATTAGCTCATGACCAGTTGTATTTCATTTATAACCCTACTTCTCCCTTTTTTAATTATTTGGACGCAAACTCCAATCATCCTCTTATTTTATTTATAAGTATTTCAGTATCTCTATAGATGAGGACTCTTTACTTTTAAAACTTAATGATGGTCAGGTGCAGTGGTTCACGCCTGTAATCCTAGCACTTTGGGAGGCCAAGGCGGGCGGATCATTTGAGCCCAGGGGGTTTGAGACCAGCCTGGGCAACATGGCGAAACACCATGTCTTAAAAAAAAAATAAGTCAGCCAAGTGTGGTCATGCATGCCTGTAGTCCCAGCAACTTGGGAGGCTGAGATGGGAGGATCACATGAGCCTGGAAAGTCGAGGCTGCAGTGAACCATGTTTGTCTCACTGCACTCCAGCCTGGGTGATGGAGCAAGATTCTGTCTCAAAAAAACCAAAACAAAACCCCAAAACAACACCACAAAATAATACCATTGTTATAACTGAAAATATTAAACATTTCCTACATCGAACACCCACTAATTCATTGTCAATTTTTCTCTCTACTCTTGGAATCAGCATCTAAATAAAACTGGTTGATAAGGGTTAAAAGTCTCTTTGATCAACTGGTTTCCCTCCATCTGTTTTTTTCCCTTGGAGCTCATTTATTGAGAAATCAGATTATTTGTCTTCTAAGTTTTTCGGTGGTCTGATTTACTGCGTACAACTCCATTGTGTAAATTAACACCTTTTTCTATTCTCTGTATATTTCCTGTAAATCAATCATTGGAAAAGCCTTGTCGGATTTAATGTGTATTTTATAATGTACATTATATCTGAGTTCAGTATTTCTTACATATTCTAAGATAAGTATATTTTAAAAAGTATTGAGACTATATGCTCAGTTTTTTTTTTTAAACTGATGCTTTAAAAAAAGGCTTGATCATAAATGTTTAGAGACCATTGGTCTGTTGAGAGAAGCAAATAATTTTTATTTATTAAATTAAACAGTTTAGGTGCACATGGTGGGGCCTGGGGAAGGTCAGTCCTGAGCCGTCACTTACGGGCATGTGGGATCTGACCCGGCACAGGGATTTGGGAGAAGAAAGGAGCTTTACAGACAGAAAATTGGTCTTTGCCAAGTCCCAGGAGTGAAAGGGTGAGAGAATGCTCACAGGGTGAATGTGGGTGCACAGACAGAGCAACGGTGGGTCTTGAAAAGGCCTCTGGGCTTTCTCGAGATTAGCAAGAGTGCTGGTTATGGAGGTTAGAAGGAGCTCGAAACTGCGTTAAGTTGGGATTGCAGTAATCCTGGAAGGACAGGCATGGAGAGTGAAAGGGAAAAGGGGGTATGGATGTGACACTTACTTAACTGCTCATTTTCTGAACACCTTTCTCCAAAGTAAATAAATGATATGGTACCTTTTTGAACTAGCAAGCTCTAGATATGATTACCTCTGTAACATGTCTTACTCCATCTTGTTTTGACTAATAACTGTTGTTTATTAAATTACTGTGAGAAGTTCAATTCAGCAAATGTAGTTTGGTTAGCCATATTTAATTAGAATTTACTCTTATCCTTGGCCTGGGCAAACTATTAAGCAAGTGTGGGCAAGATATTGATAATTTAGGTATGCAGGAACTCAGTTTGCTTTCCATTTGTGCTTTTTGAAAAAGAAGTAAGTTGGAATATAGAGGAAGCCCTGAAATCCAAGAAACAAACTCTCTAACCTAGACATGCGATAAAAGCAATTCCAGGATGATTGTTGTTCGCTGCGTAATTCATATTAGAAACCATTCTTCTTGAATAAATAGTATACTTAAGAAGCTGGGCCTAGCCCACTGGTGTAGGCAGGGTGGTATGCTCACTCAGGGAGGTAGGGTGTGGTCCTTTTGGGTGTCAGAAGAAAATGTTGAAACTTCTCTTTCCAATGCATATGCATATGCATATATTATTAACAAGGAGGGAGAAAAAAGGTAATTAGTAACCATAGGAAAGCCAGCAAGATTTGTAAAGGAAATTTGTGATCCAAGTATGAAGCAAAAGAAGATGCAGAGTAAATTTAAGCAAGTAATAGATTACAGTAAGAGAATCCATTTGACCATTAACCTTGGGACATTCTCTTTCAAACGACATGGAGTAATAAGGAAATATTTCTTTCTTTCTGAGTCTAGGTTATTAACGTGACTAGACTCAGAAAGAAGGAAGTATTTCATTATTGCAGTGAATAACATTTATGAACACTATTGTCCATAAATTATGCAGTGAATAACATGAACACATGATATGTAAGATGCATACTGTTCATTTTTAATTAAGTTTTTTGGCTTAACTTCCAGGCAGAGAATATTCAATGTAGTTACCTAGTAGCATGTAAAGGGGAATCTCCATAGTATGAAAGCAGTGCTTTTGCTAACAGAAGTTAGGAGGGGGCAGACGAGGTGAAGGAAATGTGGGTGCTTGTTTCCTTACTACATTGAGAGGAGTCAGGAGATTCTTTGTCCAAAACAGATGGCTTAAGAAGTCAAGGTATAAGCTGATTTCTGGCCCCTGACACAAAACACTTGTGGGCACTTGCTCTAGGTGCCCACCTGCTCTAGGTGCCCACAAGTGTTTTGTGTAAGGGGCCAGGAAGTAAATATTTTCAGTTTTGCAGGCCATACCAAGTCTGTTGCAGCTACTCAACACTACTTTCGTAGCACTAGGCAGCCCATAAATGTGGCTGTGTCCCAGTGAAACATGTTGTACAAAAGCAGGGCGGGCCAGACCTGACCTGTGCACTGTGGTTTGCTGACCTGGGATTCAGGGGTATAGAAGTAACCATCGGAAGAGCTCAAAGGGAGACGCTTTGCCTTATACTCTTCTACGCTGTCTGATTTTTTAAAAAAGAGACATATGTATTTTATAATATTAAAGATAGGGTTGGCAAATAGCAAATAAAAATACAGGATGCCAGAGAAATTTGACCTTGGCAAATAAATAATGAGTAATTTTATGGTGTAAGTATATTAAATCATGTAGGACATACTTGCAGTACAAAATTATTTGTTGTTTTTCTACAATTTAAATTTAAACGGGTGCCCTGTATTTTATCTGGCAACTCTGACTAAAGGGAAAAAGCATAAGTTCGTTATGTTCATATAATGTGGTACAGCAGGGGATCCCAGCCCTCAGGCTGTGGAGTGGTTCTGGTCCATGGCCTGCGAGGAAGCAGGCTGCACAGCAGGAGGTGAGCAGCAGGTGAGCTGGCATTCCCACCTGAGCTCTCAGATCAGCTGCAGAATTAGATTCGCATCAGAGCGCAGACCCTATCGCGAACTGTGCATGTGAGGGATCTAGGTTGCATGCTCCTTATGAGAATCTAATGCCTGGTGATCGGAGGTGGAACAGTTCCATCCTGAAACCATCCCCCGGCCCTGTGGAAAAATTGTGTTCCATGAAACCAGTCTCTGGTGCCAGAAAGGTTGGGGAGCATTGTGATATAGTATTAAAAGTGCTAAGAAAAGATGGCATGCTGCCTTTAAAACGTTTGGTAGCTCTTTCTCAGTGGCACTCATTATAGTGTCTTTTGATTTTTAAATGTACTTCAGGCTGGCTCCTCGCTCAGTATATGCTTGCTTTATCTTCCCTTTCCGAGTCACCAGTTTTGGGAAATAGAGATCTTCATTCTCACGCTACTGCTCTAGTGGAAGTGCTCTATTTATTTGCAAGGAATTAATATAACAATGAAAAAAATCATGGAAATTGAGAAAACAACTTGGAAGCTAATGATCACATTGGCAGAAGTGATAGGGAAATTTTTAGGGGGAGAAACTAAGGTATAAACTTTGCCAGCAAAGTCCTATTAAAAAACAAAAAAAAGGTGGAGCTTAGGATGCATTTTATAAACTCTGACCAGAACATCTGTGTTTCTGTTTCTAGGTTTATGAACTAACGTTACATCATACACAGCACCAAGACCACAATGTTGTGACCGGAGCCCTGGAGCTGTTGCAGCAGCTCTTCAGAACACCTCCACCCGAGCTTCTGCAAGCCCTGACCACCACGGGGGGCATCAGGCAGCTCACCGAGGCTAAGGATGAGTCTGGTGGCCGAAGCCGTAGTGGGAGTATAGTGGAACTTATAGGCAAGTTATTAGCAAGGTCTATTCTTACACTTCACTTGGCAGTAGTACTAGTTACCCTCTATTGATTATGGGCCCGCCCTTTGCTAAGCAGTCTGTGTTGCATCTTCCTTGCCAAAACTCAAAATACAAATTTCATCTTTATTTTATAAATAGAGGAGTTAGGCTGGGCGTGGTGCCTCACGCCTGTAATTTTAGTGCTTTGGAAGGATCACTTGTGCCTAGGAGTTTCAGGCAGCTTGGCCAAGTGAGAACCTGTCTCTATAAAAAAAAAAAAAAAAAAAAAAATTAGCTGAGCTTGGCTGCACATGCCTGTAGTCCCAGCTGCTTTGGAGGCTGAGGTGGCAGGATTGCTTAAGCCCAAGAGATTGAGGCTGCAGTGAGTCATGATGTCAGCACTACACTGCAGCCTGGTAATGGAGCAAGGTGCTGTCTCAAAATAAACTTAAAAATAAAATAAATAGGAGAATTAAAGTTTAGAAGGTTAGGTAGCAAAATGAGGCCACACATTTAAAGCCCCTCCTTCTGATTCTTTCTTTGCCTTGGCTGCCTCCTGTTGCCTTTCAGGTACAAAGAAATAAAAACAGTATGGAAAGTAGTTGTAGGATCCTTGTGTTAATTTGCCAGAAATGGCGTCTTCAAGTTGTCAGAGGGATCTGAGAGTTCCTTCCTATCCTGACTTCAGAAAATCCCTCTATCCCCAGCTCTGTGCCTGCCTCCACTGCCTAGTCTGCCCCTCTCCATGCTCTTGGGGGCTGGGTCCTATCCCACCACGCAGTGCTGCCCTGGAGGAGTGAGCTTAGGAGGCCCTGTCTTGCATGAGAGCTGCCTTTGGGAGCTCCAGTGGACCAGAATCCCTGAATCCTAGCCTCTTCCGCTGGGTCTGGTGATTAGCAGACCGTGGATAAGCTTTTGCTGACTCTAGCCTCTCCTAGTCCACTGCAGTGTGGTTGGGCACTGTGTGTGCAGCGTGGCCTTTCCTCACAGCCTCCACATTAGAGAAAATCCGAGTGAAGCCTCATTGCTGCCTCTTGTGAACATAAATGTTTGCCAGAACCATGAGCAGGAAATGTTCATCTGCCTTGTTCTCTGTCCTTTGCACTGAAGAATCTTTTTCTCTGTGGAATGTATGCCTTACAAATAATGCGTGGAAATACTCATCGCTAATGAAAAATTACACTTGATTGTTAGTTGACTAAAAAATCTGAGATTTCTAATGCTTTTAATTTGGCTTTTAAAATAAAAAATTATCTTAGCTTTTTTGACTTCTTAGGTCATATCTTTAGAACTATATATTTGAATGTTAATGTAATTTTCATATTGAAATTAAAATACTGAACTGTGATGTTAAGTGCTTCCTGTGGAAATACATTCACATTTTCCCTACCTTTAAAGTTGAATCAAGCTGTTTGAAGATTTTCACATTTCTTCTAGATCTTATCAGCTTATTACTTTATCTGTCACTTTCTGTGATTTACAGCTGGAGGGGGTTCCTCATGCAGCCCTGTCCTTTCAAGAAAACAAAAAGGTGATTATTTCAGAAATGAGTCTTGTGTTGAATCCTATTTATTTTCTTGTATTTCTGTAATGTGTTGGACTCTGTGTATATCTCTTCTCAGTAGAGTGATTGTATGTGTGAATGTTGCTGGAATCTGACAATCAAGCCTCAGTAGTTCTGTAGGTGGCTTTTAAACATTGCTTTCATATTAGAATTGCTTTGTCATAAATTTTGAATGCATCATAAATTTCTAATGTTCAGTGGTTAGCAGACTTTTTCTGTAAAGGGACAGAGTATAAACATCTTAGCTTTATGGGCCATATGGTCTCTTCGGCAACCATTCAGCCCTGCCCTGTGGCAGGAATGCAGCTGTAGACAGTACCCGGCCAGCTGTGTTCTTTACTTAGAACTTTACTTACAGAAACAGGCAGGCTGTAGTTTGCCCATACCTGCCTTAGGGAATGTATTGTTGTGTTTTATGAAAGAAATTTACCTTCCCAGTGAATTTTGTTTAATATTAGTCAGGAATATTATTAAATAGCTTCTTTTCCATCCTGGGCAGCATAGTGAGACCTGGTCTCTAACAAAACAAAACAAAAAACAGCCAGGCATGGTGGCATGGTGGCCAGTGCCTGTAGCCTCAGCTGCTGCTCAGGAGGCTGAGGCAAGAAAATTGTTTGAGCCCAGGAGTTTTGAGGTCACAGTGAGCTATGATCATGCCACTGCACTCCAGCCTAGGCAACGGAGTGAGACCTGTGTCTTTATTTTTTGGTGTTTTCTTTCTCCCATTTACAGCTGTGGACTTTAAACTGTTTTGTTATAGCTGGAAAATCCTTTTTTTTAAAAAGTGAAATCTGCCAATATTATAAGACAGATGAAAGTAGAGTTGTGTTGGCTATAGCATTAGGGTAAAAGTGGGGGGTGGCCTGGAGCCTCTCTTCGGGTGGCAGCCTAGCTCTTGCACCTTCGAGGAGATTATCCTGGGGATGGCGCTATGGAACATATTTGCAAACCACTGATTTGGAGGCTAGAGATGGCTTTTGTTAACATCCGAATTCACCTTTTTGGCATTTTACTTGATTTCTCAAGGTAAATAACTTATTTTGTAATAAAGGTCCCTATTATTTAGTAGATAGGCCAAGTTGCTGTGTTAATTTCATCTAGATTTTGGGTTTCCTTTGCTAATTTTTTTCACCTTTAATGTCGCATCATTGTAAACTTATGGAAGTTGTCATACTTCTGACTTATTCTTTGAAGAGCAGAAATTAGAAATTTCCAATTATTATTTTGATAGTGCCATTTAATAACATTCATATGTAATGTAGCCACAAAGATTTAACGAGTTCAGTTAAATCATATTAAGACTGTTGGTTTCATTTGTTCTCATTAATGTAATTCTGAAGATGAACAATAAAATGTATTTTAGAACTTTACAAATGAAATATTATTTCATCCTTCCAGACCATATAATGCTCGAGTTCTGATTGGTAATCACAAAGTCCAGAAAATTAAAAGATAATAAAATGAAAGTGACCTTTCGGTATAGGAGTTTTATCTATAAATTCTGGTATGCCATTGGAGCTATGACATGAATATTTCAAAGGCCAATAGGATTGGATCTTTACAGTTGTAACTTACACCATTTTTAAGTTTAAGTAGCAATATAAATTATTTAATAGAAAGCAGTAAATATTAATTATTAAAATGTTTTATGGTATAGTTTGAGAATCATTGCTTTTAACTTTTTTCCATACAAGTTTATTGACTTTAATAGCATTCTAAACAAAACATCTCTACATTCTTTGTGTTTAACACTGTAGAGGTATAAAAATACTTATATGAAGATAAACTATATTAAATTAGATATGCTTATGAGTTTCATTTTCGAGTGCATTTACTTAATTTTGAAGTCCTTATTTTTAGCAAACTTAAAAGGAATGTTGCTACCTTATTTACCAGGCAAAGTGCTCTTAGGAGAAGAAGAAGCCTTGGACGATGACTCTGAATCGAGGTCGGACGTCAGCAGCTCCGCCTTTGCAGGTAGTTCTCACTAGTTAGCTGCTGGTGTGGACCTTCACTGTCTGCTGTCCACCCCTTGCCCTTCCTGCCCCTCCCCCTGCACCCAGTGGACAGCACGGCGGGGGGCAGCAGTGGAGCCCGATTGCTCAAGTGGGGGCTATTTGGGCTTCTTTTATAATGCTTACTCTGAAGCTTGTGTGTCTGTGGTGTTTGCATCAGATATTTGCTGTTTTCCTTGGTTTAGGCTGTTTTAAAATTAGGTTTATCCTCCTTGAGCCCCGGGCTTTGTGAGTAGGGTATGGCAAGTAGAAGCGTCTCATGAGTTGGATGGGTTATTCTGGGGGTTGGAAAATGGGATAAAAGATTGTCTATGGATAGTTCAACTTGAAAGAATCTGCCTTTGTTTACAGATATTTATTTATTTATTTGAGATGGAGTCTCACTCTGTCACTCAGTGCAGGCATGCAGTGTCACTGGAGTGCAGTGGCATGCTCCTGGCTCACTGCAACCTCCGCCTCCCAGGTTCAAGTGACTCTCCTGCCTCAGCCTCTCGGGTAGCTGGGACTATAGGTGCCTGCCACCATGCCTGGCTAATTTTTTTTTTGTAGAGACAGGGTTTCACCATGTTGACCAGGCTGGTCTTGAACTCCTGACCTCAAGTGATCCGCCTGCCTCAGCCTCCCACAGTGCTGGGATTACAGGTGTGAGCCACTGCACCTGGCCACTTACAGATAGTTATCTAATGTGATTCTATGAGTACTTTATGCAAGATGAGGATTATAATAACTGGATTATATGAGGATGGTTTTGGTTGTATAATCCTATCTAAAAGAATATTGTAGCTATAACTGAAAGGAAGGCTTAAATATTTAGGGAGGAAAATCTAAATAATTCTAGTGGTAATTATTTACTTTACAAAATAAAAATAGATTTTTTTTTCTGATTATACAAATTAAACAGCAATAAAACATCACAACTATCTGGACTAGTATAAAGCTCACACGCTCACCAACTCAACTGCCCCCAGGAGAGACCACTGCCAACAGGTTCATGTTGGCCTTTTTGCCATGATTTTTCTATAGTCTTCTTTGTTTTAAGTGGGAATTTAAAAAGTGAACTAGGAAAATGTGTTACAGGTTTATCTTGCAGGAGAACAGGACTGCAGTAGAGATCTTGAACATGGCTTGGAAGAAGGCAAGCCTACCCCAGAGGGATGATGAGTTTACACTTATTTCTGACCACTGCTTGCTTAGAGGATCTGCATGTCTGTGCCCCTGACTAGGCTGCCCCTTAATTACAAACGTCTTTATACGTTGCTCCAGCGAAGGCTTGGAGTAGTTGGTTAGGAACTTGAAGTTGAATTTTTGCAGTGAAACACCATTTGAGAATATTATCTTCTGGTAAGCCTTGTTTTATTGAGATGGGTACTGTAGCGAGAGGCAGTGTGAGTGGTGCTTGATGCACTGCTGTCCTGTGTTTCACTGTCTTCAGGATTCAGTGCAGCTACAACATTTGATAACTGTGGCACTTTTTGTAATTTTGCAAGCCTTTGATTCCCTATGGAATGTTTTCTCACCATTTGACAAATGAGTGCTTCTCTGTCTTCAGCCTCAGTGAAGGATGAGATCAGTGGAGAGCTGACTGCTTCTTCAGGGGTTTCCACTCCAGGGTCGGCAGGTCATGACATCATCACAGAGCAGCCACGGTCACAACACACGCTGCAGGCAGACTCGGTGGATCTGGCTGGCTGTGACTTGACAAGCTCCGCCACTGATGGGGATGAAGAAGATATCTTGAGCCACAGCTCCAGCCAGGTCAGTGCTGTCCCGTCTGACCCTGCCATGGACCTGAATGACGGGACCCAGGCCTCCTCGCCCATCAGCGACAGCTCCCAGACCACCACAGAAGGGCCTGATTCAGCTGTCACCCCTTCAGACAGTTCTGAAATTGTAAGTGGGCACAGGGGCCTGCCATCATTTTTTTTTTTTTTTTTTTTTCCTTTTTGAGACAGTCTCACTCTATAGTGCAGTGGAGGCTGGGCATGATGGCTTATGCCTATAATGCCAGCACTTTGTGAGGCGAAGGCAGGTGGATCACTTGAGGTCAGGAGTTTGAGACCAGCCTGGCCAACATGGTGAAACCCTGTCTCTACTGAAAATACAAAAATTAGCTGGGCATGGTGGCATGTGCCTATAATCCCAGCTATTAGGGAGGCTGAGGCAGGAGGATTGCTTGAGCCCAGGAGGTGGAGGTTGCAGTAAGCCGAGATTGTGCCACTGCACTCCAGCCTGGGCAACAGAGCAAGACTCTGTCTCAAAAATAAAAATAAATAAATAAATAAATAAATAATGAAGTGCAGTGGCACGATCTCGGCTCACTGCAACCTTCGCCTCCCACGCTCAAGCAATTCTCCTGCCTCAGCCTTCTGAGAGGCTAGGATTACAGGTGTGCACCATCACACCTACCTAATTTTTGTATTTTCAGTAGAGATGGGGTTTTACCATGTTGGCCAGGCTGGCCTCGAGCTCCTGACCTCAAGTGATCCACCCACCTTGGCCTCACAAAGGACTGGGATTACAGTTGTGAGCCACCATGCCCAGCCCTGCCATCTGCCGTCTTTTGAGATCTTCCCTGGAGACCCAGACCTGAACCCTCCTACTTGTTCTCTTCTTGTCTAATACCCCTAATGACAGTGCGGCTTAGACCATTAATGGAGAGCTTGACCTCATCTGGTACCTTCACTGAAGGAAACAGCTTAGTGTCTTTTGTGTTGAACACTGAGGTAAAAAATTGGATTAGTTGATTATATGAACTCTGCTAAAATTGAGTGCATTTTACATTCTTTAAGGCCTTGTTGGGCCCTGGTTAAATAATTATTTTTAAAAACCCTTAAGGAGCCTATTATGAACAGATCTGTGGTCTGAATGAAATGTGATTAATAGTGTGCATTATTTTAAGCACTTTCGACTTTCCAAAAAACTTTTACAACATGTCCCATTTTATAGCAGCATAGGCTTAAATACCTCTGATCTCTAAGTTAGTGGACAAGAAACCCTCATGGATAGTCTAATAAAGTTTGGCACAAGTCTATATTGAGTTTTATACTTCTTTTTTTTCCAGTTTTAAAAATTGTGGTTAAATAGGAATAACATAAAATTTATCTTCTTAACCATTGTGTATGTATACAGTTCGATGGTATTTGATACATTTAAATAATGTTCTGGAATCATCACTACCATCCATCTCTGTAACCTTTTGATCATGTAACACTGAAACTCTGTTCTTGTTGAACTCTGTATTCTTCTGTCCCCGCCACATCCCTGGCAACCACCGTTCTTTCTGTCTTCTGAATTTGACTCCTTTAGGTTCTCATATACTTGAGGAGTCACACAGTTTTTGTGCTTTTGTTACTGACTTGTTTCACTTAGCATAGTGTCCCAAAGCTCATCCATATTGTAGCCTGTGTCAGAACTTCCTGATGTTTCAGGCCAAATGCTGTTCTGTTGTATGGATAGACCACATTTTGCTTTTCCATCCCTCTGTCCTTGGGCACTTGTATTGCTTTCACGTTTTAGCTATTGTGAATCATGCTGTTACGAACGTGGGTATACAGATATCTGTTGGAGACTCTGCTTTCCATTTTTATGGCTAAATACCCAGAAATGGAGTTGCTTTTACATCCCAATTTTAATTAAGAATTTGTATCGAGTGTTTTACCTAATAGTATAGTAGTTAACAAACTTAATTAAACAATATTTTGGTAATTTGCTGGTAGTTTTAGAGTCCATCGCTCAGTTTTTTAAGGTAAATTACACAGGACATTTCAAGTGGATGTGAAACATCCTGTGATGTAGACACATGCCCCAAACTGATGGCTAAACATATGAAATACCATGCCCGAAATTTAGTAGATTTAGTCTCTGCAATTTAGGAGATAACCTGTTACATTGTTAGGCTTTTGTCTAAAAGCTTTGTCGTCATATTTCCAGCTTGCTGTAAAATTTGTTTTTGAAGACAAATGTTTTTGTGTGGGTTTTTTCTTTTTCATATTAAAAAGAAATTTCCACATTGGAATTTCTTTGGAATTTTTAGAGCTATCAAAGCTTTTCATGATGTGGTAATGAGTGATCATAAGCAGTTTCCACACTTGCGTTTCTGTCCATTTGAATAGACAACAGATGAGCGCACTTGTGTTCCGTGTGCAAAATGTGCTCTTTCCTCTTGCCTTTCCATGTTGGAGGGCTTGTCCCATGGTGATCACGCTTCAGAATTCTCACAGCCCCCCCTTGAACTGTTTAGGTGTTAGACGGTGCTGACAGCCAGTATTTGGGCCTGCAGATTGGACAGCCCCAGGATGAAGATGAGGATGCCACAGGTGTTCTTCCTGATGAAGCCTCAGAGGCCTTCAGGAACTCTTCCATGGGTATGTGGACTGCAGGTGATGTGCTACAAAGTGGTCTCGTATTCAGCCCTGGACATCTTAATTGTGTCTTTGCTTCCAAGAAGAAATCCTTTGATATTGTTTTCTGAGTTCTGAATAGCCGATGAAAATGATTAACTGAGGAATAATCATACTTTTTCTTGATCCAAATCCTATACTTTCAAGTTATCTTAGCATAAATGTATAATTGCATTGTATGTGGAAATTTGTCACTTAATCTTGATTTCTCTGTTTTTAAAGCCCTTCAACAAGCACATTTATTGAAAAACATGAGTCACAGCAGGCAGCCTTCTGACAGCAGTGTTGATAAATTTGTGTCAAGAGATGAAGCTACTGAATCGGGTGATCAAGAAAACAAGGTGAGGGATGTAGGCTCGAGACGCTTTGGTGTTTGCGAGCTTGCATGAGGATTTAAAGTCGCCCTGGCTACTGTCTGCTTTATTGCTTTCCCATCCCTGGGATTTAAAATTTCCCCTTTAAATAGCAGCTCTTCCCAGGCCTGTTATTTGCTGCCTCTCCGGGTACTACCACAGCCTTCAGAGTTGCCTGAGTTCTACCTCCTTTGAGAGTGTACCCCAGAGAAATCGGTTCTGTACTCAATGTTTCCTTGTTTGATTTCTTGGACCATTCATTTTATTGTTGTGTATGGCCTTGCAACATTTCTTGTTTTGGTTCTATTGAACTGTTTTAAGTCTCTCTTTATATTATCTTTTTACGTGTAAATGTAATGGTCTTCACTTTTAATTCCTCAAGGGCAAGAACTAGGGTTTCACAGTTAGTCCCATCTACCAGGCCCACTTCATCTTACCGGCTTTCCCAGGCTGTTTCCTTCCCAGAGTAGTTTCTGCTTGTGCCGTAGAAGACCACTCACGCTTTGCTTTCAGAGCAGGCTTTCCTGAATGCCTGGTCTTGGCTGCCTTCTTACCATGCCCGCCCTCCCTGCATGCTGTGTTCATCCCCTGCCACAGCCCTGTGACAGTGTCCTGCTGCCTCTGGCTTGTCTGTTTCTGCTTGGCTGTGGTCTCTGTGAGGTCAGGTGTGCATACGGGCACAGACCAGGGCATTTCTTTATCCCCAGCACCCAGCGTAAATGCTGCTCGAGAACTATTTGTTGAATGAACTAATGCATGAATGTATTGGTTGAGTATGAGACAAACAAGTGTCGCTGTCTCCTTTCTAGCCTTGCCGCATCAAAGGTGACATCGGTCAGTCCACCGATGATGATTCTGCACCTCTTGTCCATTGTGTCCGCCTTTTATCTGCTTCGTTTTTGCTAACGGGGGGAAAAAATGGTGAGTAAAATAGGGCAAGTGTGGAGTTGGAGGAAATAACCAGGTTTCAGAGGTCAACTTCGTGGCCTGCTTTTGCCTTGTGTGCCCCAGAGGCAGTGGAAACTGGGGGTGAGTTTGGTTTTCACTAACTGAGGGGAAAGGAAGAAATGATGGGAGCAGGTGGGTTATTGGGTCTAGCTTTGCTCATTTGAAAACTATCTGTTGTTTGAGGCTGAAGGTGGCTTGGGTGATTTCTTGGCAGTGCTGGTTCCGGACAGGGATGTGAGGGTCAGCGTGAAGGCCCTGGCCCTCAGCTGTGTGGGAGCGGCTGTGGCCCTTCACCCGGAGTCTTTCTTCAGCAAACTCTATAAAGTTCCTCTTGACACCACGGAATACCCTGGTATGTTAAAAGTTTACATCTTTTTCTCAGATTTAATCATTATTGTAAAAACTATTTCAGTGTTGACTATTTTAGTTTTAGAGCAGTAAGTGTTTTGAGTTTATTTGGGGTATTTGACCTGCATTGTAGCTCTTCTGAAAACTTATGAATAGTAAATTCTTAGTTTCATTGGTTCCCTTTAGATGAAACCCATAGAGAAAAAAATAGAAACCTGGGCATGTAAGAGCCAATTTATATACACATCGGGTTTAAACCTAAAGCACAAATTGTGCATGGTCACAGTTGCGCTGGGTCATACTGAGCCAGGCCAAGCATTCACACTTGGGGGAGTGGCAACCAAGATGAGCTGAGGTAGCAATGGACCCGGGCCTCTGCCGCACGCATGCTCATTATGGAGCAGACATCATCCTCCTGCCTTCTCTTTCTCTATTTTTCTTTGGATGAGAGGGTACACTTGTGCTTTTGAATTTATATTACGTAAGTGTGTAATAGTTAAGGTTTTTACTAATCTTTTTAAAGTGAAATTTGGAATTTTGATTATTGTCTGACAACCCAGAATTATAATCTGGAGAGTCTGTTGTGTTGAGGATGTATTGGCAATATAATGAATCTGTAATCCTTAAATCCTGAAACTTTTTTTTCATCACTTATGGTTATTATAGTGAAGTCATTTCTGAATATGGATCTTCTCTTCGCACCTCTTTTTCTCTTTCCTGAGAATCAAGCTTTTGTTTTGAGTTAGAAAGTTGATGGTAGGGAATTGTTCCATGGTGGGGCAATCTGTCTCCACAGAGGAACAGTATGTCTCAGACATCTTGAACTACATTGATCACGGAGACCCACAGGTCCGAGGAGCCACTGCCATTCTCTGTGGGACCCTCATCTGCTCCATCCTCAGCAGATCCCGCTTCCATGTGGGAGATTGGATGGGCACCATTAGAACCCTGACAGGTAACGGCCAGTTTTTCAGCTGCGTTTCTTCTCAATATCATTACCAAGTATGAAGTTTACATGATGATGTTTGTTCCTTGTTCTTCTGCTTAGGAAATACATTTTCTTTGGCGGATTGCATTCCTTTGCTGCGGAAAACATTGAAGGATGAGTCTTCTGTTACTTGCAAGTTGGCTTGTACAGCTGTGAGGGTGAGCATAATCTTCTGTGGAAACCATTTCTTCAATTAGTGGACATTTTATCATCACTACAATTAAAATTGGAGCTTAATAGGAAATATTTCCATATACCCTAAAGCTGTACACAGTAATACCCACCATGTATCCATCTCTCAGCTTCAGAAAGAAAACATTGCCAATAAAGTTAATGTTCAATAAACTTAAGTTTTAATTCTCAGAATATTTGTTTGAAATAGACCTTTTCCTAAAGGATATATTTACGAATAACCTGTCATTAAAGTCTTTTGAATATGCTGGGCACGGTGACTTACGCTTGTAATCTGAGCACTTTGGGAGGCCAAGGTGGAAGGATTGCTCGAGCCCAGGAGTTTATGGGCAATGTAGTTGGACCCTGTCTCTACAGAAAATTAAAAACAAAAAACACAATTAGCCAGCTGTAGTGGTGCATACCTACTCTCAGCTACTTGGGAAGCTTGAGCCGGGATTGCTTGAGCCCTGGAGATCAAGGCTGCAGTGAGACGTGATTGCACCACTGGCCTCTAGCCTGGGCAGTAGAGTGAGACTGTCTCGAAAATAAGAATAGTAATAATAACCTGTTGAATTAAAAAACCCACTCTATTAGGCCTGTAGAATGGTCAGAGTTAAAGTGAGCCTTAGGGATTAATCAACCTCTGTTTTTATGTGAAGTGACACAGCCTCAATTCTGTAAGTGATAGCATGTTGAACCTTTCCATACCAGCTGGCTCATAAGTCACAACTGGCCAGTCAACAAGAATAAAAATTAACCAGTAAAAATCAAAACAAAAAACCTACAGTTGTCAAATTTGTGGGATACCTCCCCTTTTTAAAATGTCATACCTGACAGTAATTTTTCTCTAGTTTCCAGGTTTTGTTTCAGTCAGTTGTATCTTTCTTGAGTGGAAGGAAATGTGCTAACAGCTCAGTCTTGTGGCTAGCGGGGGGGTTTGTGTGTCAGCCATGTGGGTGCTTGGGGCTGCAGGGGAGGGGTACAGCAGCCGGGGCTTGTTCTGTTTTCCTGTGCCTTGGAGTACATAGTGACATAGTGGGGTGGTCCTTGGTGTAGGTCCCTTTTTCCTACCTTGGGTCTGAGATTTATTTAGAAGTAGTGTTAGGGCCGTGTGGCAGGCCCCTCTGTAACACTGATCAATGTTTGTGAAGTTGCCCATTGCGAGTTGAAGCCATGACATAGCAGAAATGGCAGTAAGAGAGAAACAGTTATGTCAAAGGGTCACGTTTACTTTTAAGCTTGTATTTATTGAGATAAACTATATACCATGAATGTTCTTGAGAGGTGTGGGAAAAGCACAACATCCTGGTTGAAGTTAAACCCAGAACATTGTTTGTCTAAGAGTGGCGGCTCTCAGACTGCCAAGATGTGGCTGCTGAGTGGGGCTAACCTGCTGCCCTCTTGCCTCGGACCTTGTGTTCCAGCATTGTGTCATGAGTCTCTGCAGCAGCAGCTACAGTGAGTTAGGACTGCAGCTGATCATCGACGTGCTGACGCTGAGGAACAGTTCCTACTGGCTGGTGAGGACAGAGCTTCTGGAAACCCTTGCTGAGATCGACTTCAGGTAAGTGAGTCACGCCCATTAGATTGCATGAACTAAGCTCAATTGAAAGTCCTGGGGTCACTTGATGTGAGGAATGATGTTACCAAGTACCCTGTCCATCAGAAATCTAGTGGTTTAGGTAGAGGGCAATGATTTTCTCCTCCCAGGGGCTTTTTGCTGAACTTTGCCCTGTGCTTGGAGTTTTATTTTAATTAATTTATTTGAGACATGATCTTGCCCTGTTGCCCAGGCTGGAGTACAGGAGCACAGTCATAGCTCCTTGCAGCTTTGAACTCCTGGACTCAAATGATCTTCCTGCCTCACCCTCCTGATTAGCTAGGACAATAGGTGTGTGTCTCCACACTGGCCAATATTTATTTTTTGTAGAGATGGGGTCTTGCTACGTTGCCCGGGCTTGTCTCAAAACTCCTGGGCTCAACTGATCCTCCAGTCTTGGCCTCCCAAAGTGCTGGGATTATAGGCATGAACCACTGTGCCTGGCCTAGAATTTTAAAATATAAGTAGAAGAAAAAAAGTAAATAAAATATAAGTAGAAGAGTAGATTTATTTTTTTGATACTCCTAGTCATGTAGGTGTTCTGGATGGTGGGAATAAAAGAACTTAGAAGTTTTCATCTTTGTCTTAAACTTTTAAAACTGCGGCTTATATTCTGCTTGTTGAAAAAGAGTATAGTCATCATACTGAACCTAGGTAAAACAGCTGGTTTGTATTTTGTTATAATTAAAAAATAACTTGAGGCTGGGCGTGATGGCTCACGCTTGTAATCCTAGCACTTTGGGAGGCCGAGGTGGGCGGATCACGAGGTCAGAAGTTCAAGACCAGCCTGGCAAACATGGTGAAACTCCGTCTTTACTTTTACTAAAAATACAAAAATTAGCCTGGCGTTCTTGGCGCTCACCTGTAATCCCAGTTACTCAGGAGGCTGAGGCAGGAGAATCGCTTGAACCTGGGAGGTGGAGGTTGCACTTAGCCGAAATCACGCCGTTGCATTCCAGCCTGGGTGATAGAGAGAGACTCTGTCTCAAAAAAACAAAAACAAAAACAAAAAACCGAACAAACAACAACAAAAAAACTTGAGCTGTGTTGGAACTTTCATTTTCTAAGAGTAAAGTTTTTGCTGGAGAAGTTTTCTTTCAGTACTTTCTTTTAGAAGGGAAATTTCCCTTTATAATTCAGGTTTTTTTTTTTGTTTGTTTTGTTTTTTCCCAAGCCACCTTTTATAGAGCCCTCATGGGTTATTTCATTTAATCCTTAGAATGTCTGTAAATCTGGGATTGTTCTCGCTTCCACCCACAGATAGGGCTGCTGAGCATGGGTGAGTGAGCAAGGTAGCAGGTTGTGGAGGGCCCAGCTTGCCCCTTCTGTGGTTTGAGCTAATTCTGGAGGGCACTTTTAGAGTCTTTTGAAATAGTATTTATTTTGAAGAAAAAGAAGAGGAATTTGCTGAGTACTGTTGTATTGAGTCTGGAATTGTGAGAGGAATGACACGTCTGTTTATTTAATGCCATTGGCCTTTTCTGTTGTTTTGAGTAAGTGCTGCCCAAGGGCCTTCCAGGGCACCTGGATGAGCCTGCTCTGGAGCAAGCTGGCAGTGTTTACTGGGTAACTAAATGATTTCATTGTTAAATGTGCTTTTTTGTTAGGCTGGTGAGCTTTTTGGAGGCAAAAGCAGAAAACTTACACAGAGGGGCTCATCATTATACAGGGGTAAGCAGCTTTTTTTGTGAGATGCTGTTTTATCTATAAGGAGGTGAAAATGAGGCTTTCCTTGTGCTGTGGAATTTCTCTGAATGCTTTCATCATGTTTTAGATCTGTTTATTTCACAGTTTATATCATGGAAGTTGTAATCGTGTGATATGGATTTAAGTCTAGTAATCTTGAGTTCTTCCTCACGAGCTTTCCAAAGTATCTTGCTAAAATTCAGTCAAATACAAGTTGATGTTTATTTTTGTTATCCTTCTCTCCAAAGCTTTTAAAACTGCAAGAACGAGTGCTCAATAATGTTGTCATCCATTTGCTTGGGGATGAAGACCCCAGGGTGCGACATGTTGCCGCAGCATCATTAATTAGGTATTTACCAGTATTTTTTCTCTTTTACTTTTTTGGTTGAAGTACTAAAAGGTATGAGAATGGAAAGAGAGGGAAGAATTCCAAGGATGTAGGGCAGTATTCCTGAATCTGAGCTCATTCCAGCTGTTCTGCTCTTAAACTATCAAGAAGAAAAATCCATTACCATGAGTCTAAAATTATAATTAAAAAACAACAGAATACTAGCTTTCCATTGTAAAAGTAATGCACTTTCATTGTAAAAATTTTGGACTATAGAGAATGGCACTAAGAAGAATATAAAATCACCTTCAATTCTGCTACTACGTGGAGGTAATCACTGTTAATATTTTGCTGTATACACTTTATGAGTTTCTTATTCAAAATTGGGTCAAAATTACATGCAATTTTGTAATCTGACAATTTTCACTGAAGATTTTATTAGCGTTTTTCTCTTATCTTATGAAACAGTAATTTTAGTTATGGGTCGTTGTCTTATTGTGTGTGTGGTTGTGATAAAATTTTATATAAATTTTTTTGGCAGTTAACTATTTTATATAAATGTTTGTGTGTAATTTTCTGAGAATTCCTGGAAGTTGAGTTACAAGGCCAGGCTTTGAATTTAAAGCAAAATTTCTAATAGCTTTGTGGAGGTATAATTTACATTCCTTGAAACTTACTCATTTTGAGTATATAGTAAACTCCAATTTTATCACATTTCTGTCACACCAGAGGTATCCTTTGTGCACGTTTGCAGTAACCTCTGGTTCCTGTTCCCACTCCTAGGCAGTCATTCATCTATTTTCTGTCCCTTAAGATTGGTATTTTTGCCAGGCGCAGTGACTCACGCCTCCGTTGGGCGGATCACTTGAGGTCAGTAGTTCGAGACCAGTCTGGCCAACATGGTGAAACCCCGTCTATGCTAAAAATACAAAAATTAGCCTGGTGTGGTGGCACATGCCTGTAATCTCAGCTTACTCAGGAGGCTGAGGCAGGAGAATCACTTGAACCCTGGAGGCAGAGGTTGCAGTGAGCAGAGATCGTGCCATTGCCCTCCAGCCTGGGCGACAGAGAGAGAGACTCTGTCTCAAAACAAACCAACACAAAGATTTGCGTTTTCTGGAAATTTTATAGAACTGTGGTCATACTATAGATGGACTTTTGCATTTGGCTTCTTTCACTTAATTTTTGAGATTTGTTTGTGTTGTAGCGTATATCAGTAATTGGTTCATTTTTATTGTCAAAAGTATTCTATTAAATGAATAATACCATATTTTATCTGTCCATCAGATGGTTATTATTGAGTCCACGTTTTGGCTAATTTATGAATTATGCTACTGTGAACATTTGCCTAGAAGATTTTGTGTAGATGTGTTTTCATTTCTCTTGAGTAGATAGCCTAGAAATGGATTTTTAAATAATTTTTGGTACTTACTGTGAAACTGCTCTTCAGAAACGTATCATTTTTCTTTTTTTAAATTTCTTTTTCTTGAAACGTATCATTTTTCTGTCTTTATATATATGTGTATGTATGTGTGTATATATATATATATATATTTAAAATTTCAATAGCTTTTGGGGTACAGGTGGTTTTTGTTACATGGCTGAATTTTTGGTGACATGGGTGAATTTTGGTTACATGGTGAAATCAGATTTTAGTACACCTGTCACCCGAGTAGTGTACTTTGTACCCAATATGTAGTTTTTTGTCCCTCACCTTCCTTCCAGCCTCCTGCCTTGTGAGTCTCCAATGTCCATTATACCCCTCTGTGTGCCCTTGCATACCCACAGCTCAGTTCTCCCTCCTGAGAACATACAGCAGAAACATACCAGAATGTGATTGTCTCTGATTCTTCTCACCAATGCAAATATTTCAAAAAAAGTTAAATATGTATCAGTGTTTAACGCAGAAGTTGATACTTCTTTTCATTTTTTATTTTTTATTTTTTGAGATAGGATCTCACTTTGTGATGCCCAGGCTGGAGGGCAGTGGTGCAATCTTGGCTCACTGCAGTCTCTGACTCCCAGTGTCAAGTGATTCTCCCACCTCAGCCTCTCAAGAAGCTGGGATTACAGTTGGCTCTTGCCGGTGGCTCTTCCAGGAATTCCAGGAATTCTACCACTGCCAGCTAATTTTTGTATTTTTTGGTAGAGATGGGCTTTCACCATGTTGGCCAGGTTGGTCTCAAACTCCTTACCTCAAGTGATCCACCCACCTTGGCCTCCCAGAGTGCTGGGATTACAGGCATGAGCCACCACATCTGGGTGATAGTTCTTTTTAAAATAACTTACCTTCTTTTGAAAATAATACATATTTAATGAACAAAAGTTAAGGAAAATATAAAAAGGAAATAATCTTTGTAATCAAACTAGTGAAAGAAAACCAAAGTTACATTTTGGTGCATATATTCTTTTTCATTTTCATCGTTGTAATTGGTATTCTTTGATTGCTTGTGAGACACACTTTTCATTTACTTAATGGGTTTGTATGACTTGCCTATTCAGAGATTTTGCAGCTTTACCATTTTCTGTAAGTGATAGCAACTTCTTTTTTGTTTGTTTGTTGAGACAGAGTTTCGCTCTGTAGCTCAGGATGGAGCACGGTGGCGCAATCCCGGCTTACTGCAACTTTTGCTTCCTGAAGTGGTTTTCCTTCCTCAGCCGCCCGAGTAGCTCGGATTATAGAAGTGTGCCACCATGCCTGGCTAATTTTTGTATCTTTAATAGACATGAGGTTTTGCCACATTGGCCAGGCTGGTCTTGAACTCCTGGCCTCAAGCGGTGTCTCTCTCCCCCCCTCAACCCCACCCCGCTCCCGCCTCAACCTCCCAAAGGGCTGGGGTTACAGGCATGAGCCACTATACGCAACATACATACCCAGCCAATTTCTTCTTATATTCTAGAAAAAACTATACTCCTGATCAAACCTCCATAGAGGAAAGAGACTTTTATTAAAGATACTGGGATTTGCAAACCAATATGGTAAAATAGCTGATTGTTTCTAAAAGTATTACCGAGTATTGATGGCAGATATGAGCCCTTCTGTTTTTGTAGGAAAATGTTGCCAGTATTCTGCATTTGAATTCAGTTTAGATTTGTTAGGAATCTCAGCTGAAGCTTTGCCATCTGGGAGTGTTTCGGAGAGTTTTGCAGACAAAATTGCAAAATTGCCTAAGGGATGCAGCCGGGATTCAGACCTGCTCTGTGCTCAGTACTTTGTGGACAAGTGTTTAGCACTTTGTGGATATTGATCAAAAGGTTTAGAAAGAGAGCTTTCAAAGTTGGTTTTTAATTAAAGCATTTCATAGTGTGAATAGAAAGGGACTTAATTTTATGACAGAAAAAGGAAAGTACAGCACCTGGCCAGGTGTGGTGGCTTATGCCTGTAATCCCAGCACTTTGGAGGGCTGAGGTGGATGGATCATGAGGTGAGGAGTTTAAGACCAGCCTGGCCAACGTGGTGAAACTCCGTCTCTACTAAAGCCACAAAAATTAGCTGGGTGAAGTGGCAAGTGCCTGTAGTCCCAGCTACTTGGGAGACTGAAACAGGAGAATTGCACGAACCTGGGTGGCAGAGGTTGCAGTGAGCGGAGATTGCGCCATTGCACTCCAGCCTGGGCGACAGAGTGACACTCTGTCCTAGAAAACAAAAAAAAGTACAGCAGCCAGTTATGTCAGAGTGGCTGTGTGAGAAAGTGACCCTGAGATTGGCGACACTGCTGTCATGTGTTTGAAGAACGCCACCTGAGAAAGGGGGTGGGAAGTGGTGTCTGCTGGCAACCAGAGGTGTTGGCTTAGCCACCTGCAGGGAGGAGGTGGTCTATCACAGGTGAGTTTCAGCTACTTTCTTAAGCAAATCACCCTTACTTTTATGTTAGGCTCGTCCCAAAACTGTTTTATAAATGTGACCAAGGACAAGCTGATCCAGTAGTGGCCGTGGCAAGAGATCAAAGCAGTGTTTACCTGAAACTTCTCATGCATGAGACGCAGCCTCCATCTCATTTCTCCGTCAGCACAATAACCAGGTACACTGACCCGGTGGCGTCCTGTCGTTGTCGGGAAAATGCCCTTTCCTGATGCGTTTCTTTAGGCTTTAATTGAAAACATTTTATTTTCCAGAAAAGAGCTTTAGTTCAGGATGTTTGAATGTAGGTCAGTTCTTTGATAGGATATTATTCTTTTGAGGATTGACCACATCACCTCTGTATTTAGCCCTGCCGCAATCACACAGCTGTGACATGGCGAATCTTTTAATGAATTTATTGCATTCCATGTGCTGACAGCTGTATTTTTGTGTGTGACACGTATTACCTGTTAAAAGTTTTCATTTGAGTTGTGTTACCTTTAACGAGGATGGTACTCTGTCATGCCCATTGAATTTACGTGAGCAGTGCTCTTTAGGGTTATCCACTAGTTCAGTGATGTGCAGCAATTACCATTCTCATTTGTTGTGGACCTTTGAATATTGTATCAAATGACCACATCTGATTCTTAGATGAGTAGGACAGAGTGCTTTAATGAAATTATAATCTTTAGAATTCTAGCTTGCAAAGGAGATTGCAGAAGCGGTAAGACTTGTGCTTTTTAATTTTGTCTTTTAAATGTTATTTTAAAAATTGACTTTAGATGATACTCTTTTTTTCTGTTGAGTAACAGTGTTTTACAAAACTTGGACTGAATGACTTCCAAGCTTAAATGATCACTTGATGCTTTTTTCCCTTAATTTTTCCCTTAATTTTTTCCCTTAATTTTTCCCTTAGTTTCAAATTAATAAATTCCTTATCAAATTTCAAAGTTGTAATTCCTAAATAAATAACGACTTTTCTCATATAAAGACTGCTTTAAAAAAACACATGAAAGACTGGGCGTGGTGGCTCAAGCCTGTAATCCCAGCATTTTGGGAGGCCCAGGCGGGCAGATTGCCTGAGCTCCAGAGTTCGAGACCACTCTGGGCAACATGGCGAAACCCGACCTCTACTAAAACACAAAAAATTAGCCGGGCGTGGTGGCATCCGCTTGTAATCCCAGCTACTCAGGAGGCAAAGGCATGAGAATCACTTGAGCCCTGGAGATCGTGCCATTGTGCTCCAGCTTGGGCTACAGAGTGAGACTCTGTCTCAAAAAACCCAAAAAACACATGGAAATATTTTCTTTGACCACCTTAATATTTTCCCTTCAGATAATTTCCTTTGTTTAACCTCAGAACTGGCATTTTCTCTCTTTGAAAAGATTCAGGATAAAAAAATACTCTTTTAAGATAAGTAGAAGCAGTGAAAGAGTATTTGATTATCAGGAATTTGATAAGTTATAATAAATTGTTGCTTCTAAATGTCATTTCAGAAGATGATTTTTTTTTTTTTTTTTTGAGACGGAGTCTTACTCTGTTGCCAGTTTAGAGTGCAATGGCTCGATCTCGGCTCACTGCAACTTCCGCCTCCCGAGTTCAAGTGATTCTCCTGCCTCAACCTCCTGAGTAGCTGGGACTACAGGCGGGCACCACTATGCCCAACTAATTTTTGTATTTTTAGTAGAGACAGGGTTTCATCATGTTGGCCAGGATAGTCTCTATCTCTTGACCTTGTGATCTGCCTGCCTTGGCCTCCCAAAGTGCTGGGATTACAGGCGTGAGCCACCCCTCCCTGCCGATGAATCTTTATTAATAGATGCCAACTCACATATCATTAACATTGGTTACTAACTAGTACTTTGAAGAGTTTCCCAGTTCCAAACTTTAGCAGGTCCTTGACAATTCAGCTGTGCTTAATCGGGTCTTGCGTGACAGACACAATTACCAATTGTAGAGCAGCAGTGTGAGCTTCTTAGCTACCTGTTCTGTTAGTATTCATGTGTTAACTTAAAATCATAATCTCATTAGTTTTGTTGAGTTTCTCTGTGAGCGATACAAAATCAGATTGGCTTTATTCAAACAGTTGGGGTATTATAATTTATTTTATTTTTTGCCATTTTCCACGTGTTCTAAAGAATTAGAGTTTGTATAGAACTATAATGGGGGTAGAAATTGTAAGGTAGCATGAATGGAATACGAAAAAGTGCCATGGGAGCTCAGAAGCGGAGAAAGGATTTCTTTTTTCCTGGAAGCAGGAATAACTTCATGAAGCATTTATTTCAACTTAAAGAGATTGTAGGCAGTGCTGTGAGGGGAGTGTGGCTGCAGGGCCACGTGTTTGGGGCAGACTTGGACGAAGGCAGGGAATGCATTCCGCCCTTGTTATGGAACAGTGATCAAATCCATTTCCAGTCCCTCTTTCACTTAAAAGCTGAGGCTTCTTAACTTCTTTTAATCTTCAGTCTTAAACTTTTAAATGCCATTTGATCTTTAAAAATATATATTTTAATAGTAGATTTTAAGTCTGTATTTTTCTTATTAGAATATATAGAGGCTATAACCTACTACCAAGTATAACAGATGTCACTATGGAAAATAACCTTTCAAGAGTTATTGCGGCGGTTTCTCATGAACTAATCACATCAACCACGAGAGCACTCACAGTAAGTCTCTTTCTCAATTGGTGTTAATGAAATTTAGCAATTTTTGGTGGTTTGTATGGCCAATTAGTTATATGGTCATCTTATGGTGAGGTGTTTGTATTAGAGCTCTTACTTATATGTGGGGCTTGCTAAGAAATTGTGCTTCTGTGAAAAGAATCTTGGCTTACTCCAACAGGAATGTAAAGAACTACTTTTTCCTGATTATTAAAGTAATACACACTCAAAAAAATACAGCCAATTTAGAAAGACATAAAATTGAAAATAAAGCGGGCGTGGTGGCTCATGCCTGTAATCCCAGCACTTTGGGAGGCTGAGGTGGGTGGATCATGAGGTCAAGAGATTGAGACCAGCCTGGCCAACATGGTGAAACCTCGTCTCTACTAAAAATACAAAAATTAGCCAGGCATGGTGGCACGCGCCTGTAATCCCAGCTACTCGGGAGGCTGAGGCTGGAGAATTGCTTGAACCTGGGAGGCAGAGGTTGCAGTGAGCCAAGATTGTGTCACTGCACTCCAGCTTGGGACACAGAGCAATACTCCATCTCCAAAAAAAAACGTACGTATATATATTTCTCACATTGGCAGATAATCACCAAGATAGATTTTGGGATTGTGGATGATTTTTGTCTTTTTCTTTATATTTTTTCAGATACTCTCAAATTTTCTAAAATGAGCAAGTGTAATTTTTGTTATCAGAAAGAATAATATGGAAAATTAATGTTAATTTGCTGGTGACTAGGTTAAACCTTTTTATGTGACAAAAGAAATACTTGCATGTCGTAGAGAGTTAAATATTGTTTGGGCTGTCTGTAGTATGGCCTTCCCTTGATTTGCTCAAAATATTGTAAACTTTGCTTATTTATTTTTATTGTGGCTGACATGTATCAGACACTGTTGTAGGCTTGGGATGTAAAAACGGGATTCCTGCCCTTATGGTCTCTGCAGGCTGGTCGGGGGGATGACACAGTCAGCTGGAGCTCAACTTCTGAGGATGTGCAGGGGCAGCTGAGGGGTGGAAGTTGGGGAGAGCATTCCAGGGCGTGGGCAGCACAGGAGCCTCTCTTCGTTGGAATGTAATTGCCATTCCAATAACACGTATTTCAGCTGTTCAAAGTAGGAAGTTGTACTATGGTGGGATGGATATCCTGTGGTTATCATATATAGATCTCGGATTTCTTCCCAGTGTTTACACTTTTTACAATGGGTAAAAGGAAACTAAATTCAATAAACCCTCGTGGTGTCTGGGTGTGATTTCGCTGTTTCTTTCTTCTGTAGTTTGGGTGCTGCGAAGCTCTGTGTCTCCTTTCTACTGCCTTCCCGGTTTGCATTTGGAGTTTAGGCTGGCACTGTGGGTACGTATTTTCCTCAGCATGTGTTCATAGTTGTCTGTAACAATATGGTACATAGTTATTAGGGTCCCCTTTTTCTTTCTAAGTCTTTTATCAATTTGGCTTTTTGGAAACACGTCTGATGGAATACTTGTTTCCACTGTATTAGTGTGTGAAACTAGTGACAGCAGCTGTGCGAATCGAATGCTGCATGTTCTTAGGCACATTGAGGAATTTGAGGGTTTGACCTTCGCGTTCATTTAAGAGAATTTTCATATGCTGGCAAAAGACTTTTCTTGTTAGCTTGATTCTTTCCAGAATTCTTCACTGTGCATTAGAAGGTCAGGAACCTTTCTTCACTTAAATGTGACCTAGCATATGAAATGGTGATGATTTAGGAACTACTGTACTTACATTAACAGCTTTTATTTCAACATGACTTTCCTCCAGTAGATGGCCCTCCTAGCATCTGCGAAATAATTTCAGGTCTCCTCCAGCATTCAGGAATAAGCTTTCATTTTGTTTATCAGTTACTGAGAATGATTTTGGTGACTCACGTCACATTGGGAAGTAAACCTGCAGATTTCTTGTGTGTCACTGAATGAACAACTGACATTTGCTTGAAGTAGATTACATTCTCTGCTCTAGAATGATTGCTTTCCCACTTTGCACACATACCGACTGCGCAACCAACGTGTGTAAGTCATAGGTCCAGCACTAGACTTGACTTCTGAGCAACTTTGGCATCGGACTAGAATGTATTAATTTAAAGAAAGTTAAAAATCCATTAAAGTAAACATACAGGTCTAATACTTTTTAAAATTTAAAACAGATTTAAATGATAAAATTAAAAAAAAAATGGGTAGATACCATAATCTCATTTCTGCATCTGTTCACAAGGGTTTGATGTTTGTGATTTCTCTTCTCCCCTACCTATTTCATGTTCTGTTCATCCTCAGTCAGCACCTCAGGTGGTTGGGGTTTGGCTGCTGGTAGTTTGACTTATACTGTCTTTTCTAGGGGATTGAGCCCTGAGTAGTCCTGCTTATATGAGATTGCCATTTGTCCTCCTATAATTTTTATTAGGAGATATGGGGTATTAAAGGATACCATCGGGGAACCAGTGTAATATTAATATCAGGAAAACTAACCATGTCAAACCTGCCCCATTGTGTATCAAGTACACTATTTTTCCATGTTAATTAAGAGCTCACCCCAGCCAGTTCCCTTTTATTTTGTGCCTGTTTACCCAATGACATTACGATGCCCAAATGTCTCAGCTCCAGTTTAGTTTGGCATATAACCATCGTTATATGCCCTAGTGAAGCCTTCTTCATTGGACACTTAGGCCCCAGTACTTTTCATCAGATCTGCCTGATTTCATTTCTGTCTTGATTTTTATGGAGCTTTGATTTATAGGAAAGATGTTAGTTGATTAACAATAGTGAAAGCAGTTTCCGAGCTGGTATGAACTATGTTGTGACATGCCTTCCTCTTGGAATGGCAAGAGAAAGAAAGATTATTGTTTGCTTGAAAATTGTCTATAATTTGACCTTGCCAATGTCTGCTTCCAGAGTGCCCCCACTGAGTGCCTCAGATGAGTGTAGGAAGAGCTGTACCATTGGGATGGCCACGATGATTCTGACCCTGCTCTCATCAGCTTGGTTCCCATTGGATCTCTCAGCCCATCAAGATGCTTTGATTTTGGCCGGAAACTTGCTTGCAGGTACTGGTGCTGACTTGAAACAGGGACTCCAGGAGTTGGATTTTGATTTTCTTATGGGGAATGGGGGTGGCGAGCAAATGAGGGAAAACTATTAAAAGGTCATTGCCAGTGATGGCTTGTCTGTTTAGTCAAATTTCAGATGTTACCTATATGCATAAATGCATGGTTGGCAGCTGTTCTATGCTGAGTATTTTAAAGTAGCCTCATCCCAATCTAGCCCCTCAGTTAACTACAAGTAAACTCATTTTGAATTTCATTTTATTGGGCACTATATGCCAGCACTGCCTCAGGCACTGGGGTGATAAGAAAGTATAATAAATGGACTCCATTCTCAAGTCAGTTTTAGATTAGAGGGGGAGACATGTAGACAAAAGTGCAGTGGTCACACAGAGTGGCCATGATCACTCTCCTTGGGCTGGTGGGAAAGGGCACAGCAGGGAGATGGTGCAGCAGCTTGGCGATGAGCATGGAGGATGTGGGCAGCAAGGAAGGTAGGGTCCATTGAAACTGATTTGGGGAGAAGCTGCCAATCTCCATGAAAGAATTGGGACCTGCACTCTGCTTCAGGAGGCTATAGGAGAGTTTTGTGAAAGGGACTGGTAGATGAGTATTTTAATAAGATCATTCAGCCAACTTGAGTGTGGGCTGGAGGAGAAGGGAGAGAGACTCAGGAGATTAATGTTGATGCTAAGGCAAGAGATGGGAAGTCTAAACCAAGACAATTGCTTTGGGATTGTCGGGAGGGCACTGATGGTAAGAGAACGAAGGAGGCAGAATCACCAGGCCTGGGTCGCCAACTGGACTTTGGTTTTCAGGACCAAGACACCCAGGATGACTGCACATCCTGGGCAGGTGTGTGGCAGTGACAGTTGTGGATATTGGGAACACATACTTGCAGGGGAAGCATCAGTTTCAGCTTGAATTTGGCCTGTCAGTTGAATATCAGGCACAGATGTCTGACCAACTCTCAACACAGATAGGGTCTTTTATTTTTATTTTTATTTTTTATTAAGACAGGCCTAAATAGGTAGGATCTTAAATGACTTCAGTTCCCCAAGCAGTTTGCCCTTCTCGTGCTATCAGGGTGGGAAGGTAATGTCTATGGCCCTATCACAGCCAGTGCTCCCAAATCTCTGAGAAGTTCATGGACCTCTGAAGAAGAAGCCAACCCAGCAGCCACCAAGCAAGAGGAGGTCTGGCCAGCCCTGGGGGACCGGGCCCTGGTGCCCATGGTGGAGCAGCTCTTCTCTCACCTGCTGAAGGTGATTAACATTTGTGCTCACGTCCTGGACGACGTGGCTCCTGGACCTGCAATAAAGGTAACATCCCACTCAGGTGTTGGATTAATACAGCCCTAATGACTGTGGGCTTCCAGAATACCTTTATTTAGTAATCTGTCCCTTCTTTATTCTCTTTTGCTTTAAATGAACAAAATTGCTCAGATTGTGACACTAAATTTAACATCAAAATGTGACCATATGGTTGGATGCAGTGGTGCAGGCCTATTATTCTAGCACTTTGGGAGGCTCAGGCGGGTGGATCACTTGAGGCCAAGAGTTCGAGACCAGCCTGGCTAACATCATGAAACCCTATCTCTGCTAAAAATACAAAAAAATTAGATGAGCATGGTGCTACATGCCTGTAATCCCAGCTCCTCGGGAGGCTGAGGCAGGAGAATTACTTGAACCTGGGAGGCAGAGTTTGTGGTGAGCCTTGATTATGCCACTGCACTCCAGCCTGGACGACAGAGTCAGTCTGTGTCTCAAAAGAAAAAAATGTGACCATGTGTTTTGTAGCTCTTTTGGTATCATCAATCACTGTTACCCCTAAGAGGGAAATAGCTAGCATTAGTTTTAGGTTTCCAGCATTAGCCAAGAAAGCTCAGAATTGATGTTCCTGGCTAAGCACCTCATTGATGTCTCCTTAAATCTTGGTTAGTGGCTACTGTCCTAGCTGGCATAGTTGTAGAGCGTTTCTATGGTTGTAGAAAGTTCTGCTAATCTGAGGGACAGTGTTGCTTTTCTGTGAAGCAATAAAATCAGCTTCAAAACAAATATTAACTCTTTGCATAATGGATTTAAGATAGACCAGTTCACTTACTGTTTTTTTTTTTTTTTTTGAGACGGAGTTTTGCTTTCGTAGCCCAGGCTGGAGTGCAATGGCACGGTCTCGGCTCACTGCAACTTCCGCCTCCCGGATTCAGATGATTAATGATGGCTGCCTCCTGGAGTGTTGGGAGCCTGGATGTTCTACATGCTCTCATGTGTTGTGTATTTGGGCTTTATGAATACATGTAGACTTGCTGGCTTCTAGCTTTGCTGCTAACCAGCTGCGACTTTGAATAAGTTACTTCCTCTCTGAGCCTGTTTCCTCTTTTAGAAAAGGGAGTTTAAAGTGCTGCTTTGGGCTGGGCACGGTGGCTCATGCCTGTAATTCTAGCACTTTGGGAGGCTGAGATGGGAGAATCACTTGAGCTTGGAGTTCGAGACCAGCCTGGCTATCATAGGGTGAGGTCCTGTCTCTTCAAGAAATTAAAACATTAGCTGAGTGAGGTGGCGTGTGCTTGTGGTCCCATCTACTCTGGAGGCTGAAGAGGAGGATTGCTTGAGCCTGGAAGGTTGAGGCTGCAATGAACTATGATTGTACCCCATCCTGGGTGACGAGTGAGACCCTGTCTCAAAAAAACAAAAAGAAAAAAATGCTGCCTTGTACCCTTTTCATGTCATGGCTAACACAGAATGCCTTGGTTGTTTGCTGCTGGAGGGTATGGGCCTGAGGGCTCCTTCCAACTTGTTCTCTGTGCTCCTGTTTGGAAGTTGTGGGCCAGTCCCTACTATGTACTGTTGTGTGGATAAAAGGAAATAAAATGTGTACAGTGTCTGAACTGTACAAATAGGGGTCCAAGAACAATATGAATGACATGGGTTAGCTCTTTCTGATAAACGGTAAAACCAAATATTCTAATTTTCAGTTTCTGTTTTGTTGTACTTCACTTGTTTTTGTTTTTCTATTTTAGGCAGCCTTGCCTTCTCTAACAAACCCCCCTTCTCTAAGTCCCATCCGACGAAAGGGGAAGGAGAAAGAACCAGCAGAACAAGCATCTGTACCACTGAGTCCCAAGAAAGGCAGTGAGGCCAGTGCAGGTAGGAGACATGTGGGGAAGGGAGGGGCAGGAGTGCAGCATCTGTCATGTAGAAATGTAGGATTTAAGTAACCTGGTATTTTATAGAAATATAATACGTATCAGTAAAGTGAGAGAATGTTTCCCCAGGTGTGGTTCAAGATATCAGAAACTAATGACTAGCATTCACAGACCACCTTTTGGTCTGAAGCATCTGTAAGAGCCCCCTGCTGACATGCAGCCCCTGCAGCCTCCAGGCTTACAGCCCTGGCAAGGAGCCTCTCCCTCCTGTGCTTCCCTGTCGCAGGCGATAGCTGGAGAGGCCTCCTGATACTCAGTAAGCGAAGTGGTATAGATGCTTTGGAATAGATGTAGTGAGTGAAAAAATTGATTCTCATATGTCAAAAATTCTGATTGGAAATGGAATGTTTACATTTGGAAGAGCTAAAGGAGAGATAAAGTAGAGATTAATTAATCTGAGTTGGAGGAGCTTAAACCATTCACAAGTTTGGAGGACCTTTTTTTACCCATGAAAATGTCAGAACGGAAGGGGCTACGATTTAGGTATGACTGCAGCTTATCGAATTCCCACCCATACTGCTCTGGGTGGGTACTGGCAGGGGCAGGAGAGGAGCCTGGCAAAGCATGAAGTGACTGCTGCCTCTGCTGTCCTGGACGCCTGTCTGCCTGTCTATGCAGTCTCCCTCCAAACCCATTCTCACGCTGTCTCTTGGCGCCTAGGGGCCAGTAATGGTTCTCCCATTTGTTTTGTGGGTATTTATATCAAGGCTATTTATTTATAATTGACAAAGTTATAAATAGCTGCGATGTACAACATGATGTTGGAAATATGTATGCATTGGCTGGGTGCGCTAGCTCACACCTGTAATCCCAGAACTTTGGGAGGCCGAGGCAGGTGGATCACAAGGTCAGGAGTTCGAGATCAGCCTGGCCATCATGGTGAAATCCTATCTCTACTTTAAAAAAAAAAAAAAATAGCTGGGCATGGTGGTGCATACCTGTAGTCCCAGCCACTCGGGAGGCTGAAGCCAAAGAAATACTTGAACCTGGCAGGCGGAGTGAGCTGAGATCATGCCACTACATTCCACCCTGGGCAACAAAGCGAGACTCTGTCTCAGAAAAAAAATAGGAAAAAAAATACATATGCTTTGTGGAATGGCAAATTAACCTATGCATCACCTCACATGGCATTGTTTTGTGTTGAGAACACTTAAAATCCACTCTGTCAGTGATTTTCCTGCATATGGTGTCTTGTTATTAACTACAGTCACCATGCTTTACGGATCTCTTGAACTCATTCCTCCTGTCTATAAATGAAATTTTGTATCCTTGACCAAGACATTAAACGGAGTCTTGCTTCTTTGCTCAGGCTGGAGTACAGTGCCTCAATCTCAGCTCACTGCAACCTCTGCTTGGTGGGTTCAAGCAATTCTCCTGCCCCACTCTGCCCAGTAGCTGGGATTATAGGCATGTGCCACCACACCCAGTTGATCTTTGTACTTTTAGTAGAGACGGAGTTTCACCATGTTGGCCAGGCTGGTTTTGAACTCCTGACCTCAAGTGATCCGCCTGCCTCAGCCTCCCAAAATGCTAGGATTACAGGTGTGAGCCACTGCACCCGGCCTAAAGTGTTTTAAAAGGGGTTCTTTTCTAAGGGTTGGCTGTAGTACAGATGGAAGATTTACCTATTGAAAAGCCTCAGCCTTTACATGTGCAAAATTATCAGTATGTCTATCATCTTTCTGATGAATTAAATAAACTAAGGACTCCAAGTCAAAAGTCTTCAAACTGGAGTGGGATAATTGTATAAAGTGCTTGGCACATTCAGATTTACTACCGGTTTAATGATAACGTTTGTGCCTTTACCACTTTACCATCTTTAAAATATTTTTACGTCATCCCTGTTTGATTACTTGGCGGGCTCATGAAGTTGTTGGCCACTAAGGAATCTTAGGCTCAGAGAGGTTCTGGAATTGGCCAGTGGTCCTTGAATTAACTGCTCCTATGATTCTCAAACTGATTTCTCACAAAGCAAACAAACAACCACAATAAAGCAGCTATGCACACCGCTCTTCTTTTTTTTTTTTTTTTTTAGTACTTAGGCTCTACTTAGGTTTGTTAGTCAATTTCTCATTACTTCTAGTTAATCAAAAGGTCAGAGGAAATATTTGAATATTTTCATACCATGATGCTTTAAAAAAATTCATTATTTCCAGTAATCTCTTTAAAACTTGGCAAGTTATTTTGATCTAAGTTTATCTTTTGTGTGTATTTTTAAAGCCTCTAGACAGTCTGATACTTCGGGGCCTGTTACAACAAGTAAATCCTCATCACTGGGGAGTTTCTATCACCTTCCTTCATACCTCAAACTGCATGATGTCCTGAAAGCTACGCACGCTAACTACAAGGTACGGGCTCTGCCTCTTTTGTCAATATCTATGCACACATCCTTATGTCTAAGGGATTGCTGATGTTTTTCCTGTGATTTGTACAACGTATTAGCCCTTTGAGATATGAGTCACAATTAGTTTTTTCAAGTTTGCCTTTCAGCTTTGTTTATGATAGCTTCTACCATACAGATATTTTGGATTTTCATATTGTTTGTAATCACAGCTAAGATTTATGACAGTGACAGAGTGAGGATGTGCCGCCAGGTTATGCAGGGAAGTGGTCCTGGTGGAGCCTGGAAGGATCTGTGTACAGGCTTCCTCCCCTCCCGTGAGGCTCACATGAAACTACAGCAACATGCTGGCCTTGCAGGCACCCCCTGCCTAATATGAGCCAGAATTCCAGACTCGCAGAAGGAAAGCAAGCATTCGGTATAAACCATGCATTTCAAATAATCTGGGCATGGTGAGCCACTTGTTATCAGCTGGGGAAAGTTCACATCAGTGTGAGGAACTGTTCACCAGATACCCCCAAGAGCCAGCCTTTCTGTATACGGATGTTTCATTTTTTAGGTCTTTTTTTTTAACTTTAAAATTTTCTATTCATCTGCAATCTGGAGATATGAAGTACGCATCTAATTTAATTTTTGGTTTTGGTTGTCCCCGGTGCTGTTTACAGAAGAATTTTTCTGCGCTAATTGGGTTACTTACATTCTCACAGTTCTCTAGTTCCATTAGTTTCATTTATTATTTTGTTATATTGATCTATCTGGTCATCTATTAGAACCATCCTTTTTTTTTCTTTTTTCTTTTTTAGATAGCATCTTGCCCTGTCCCCAGGCTGGAGTGCAGTGGTGCAAGCATTGCTCACTGCAGTCTTGACCTCCGGGGCTCAAGTGATCCTCCCACCTCAGCTTCCTGAGTACCTGGGACTACAGACATGTGTCACCATACCCAGCTAATTTTTGTATTTTTTGTAGTGACAGGGTCTCCCTAAGTTGCCTGGGCTGGTCTCGAGCTCCTGGGTTTAAGCAGTCCTCCCTCCTTGGCCTCCCAAACTGCTGGGATTATATGCGTGAGCAACTGCACCTGGCCAGAATTATACCTCTTAATTGTTGTAGCTTCATGGTATTTATGAGGGGATCAGTTCCCCTGTTGCTCTTTAGAATTTTCCAGATATTCTTCTTTGTTGATTTTGGCATGTGAGCAATAGAATCAACTTATTTGTAGATTAATTTAGGGAGAACTTATACCTTAGATGATAAGTCACCCTGTCCAGAATGTGGGATGCTTTTCTATTTGTTCAAAACTTTTTAAATCATCTCAAGCATGTGAAATTTAAATTATTTTTAAAAAACTTTAAAGATTATTTCACATACCTCTTGCACATTTCTTGATAAATGAATCCTTAGGTATTCCTCTGTTTTTGTTACTAGTAGATACTTCTCATGGGTATTTTTCCTGGAAATCATTTATTAAACTTATGTGGCTTCTTTTCTGAAGGATGTTTGATAATTTTGAAAGATCAAAGTCTGGCCGGGAAAGATGGCTCATGCCTGTAATCCCAGTACTTTGGGAGGCCACGGTGGGTGAATTACCTGAGGTCAGGTGTTCAAGACCAGCCTGGCCAACATGGTGAAACCTCGTCTCTATTTAAAGAAAAAGAAAAAAAAGAAAAAGAAAGATCAAAGTCTTCATATTTTACAAGATTTGGAGTCCTAAGCTGCATGGTTCTTAGGCAGGTCCCAAAGTAGAAGAGAACATGTTGAAAAATGCCATAGAGAGAAGATACTTCTTTTCCACCTGTTTTCAACTCATAGTATCTTGAATTTCAGGGTACCTTTCTGTGTTCCCAGTGCTTGCTCTCTGTTAATTATTTTCCTTCCTGAATACCCTGGACTCCAGCATGTTCTGCTGTAATTCTGGCCTCCCTGGCATCTTGGACTCCTGTTTCCTTTGCTTTGTCATCCCCGTGGTCAGCTCCTGCTGTGCAGCTTCTCAGCTGATGTGTGTTTGGAGTGGCTGGCATGTCTTGCTGGATCTTTGAGTATCACCTCTGGTATCCTTGGTTCCTTCTCCTGAGTTGCTCAGCGTCTGCACTCCCCATTTTTTGTATGGGCCTTCTTGCTCCCCTCTGATTCCTTGTCTTCCCTGGTTTCTTGATTTGGTTTTGAGTCTCCACAGGATGTTTATAGCTCTTCTGAAAACCTGGAGGCTGCCTTTTTCATCTTAATTCTCATCTCATGACCTCCTTTCCCTTATTTGAGACCTAGACTTTCTCCCTCCAGAATTCCGTGCCTCCTCTTCCACTTGCCTGCTGTCCAGGAGAAGTCAGATTGCCATGCCGATTGGGGGAGAACCCTTTCTTCCCTGGGCTCTTCATCTCACATCGCCATGTCAGCTCATCCCTTGGACCTTCAGTGGTCTCGCTGCTGGATTTTCCTTTCCTTTGGCTGGCCTGCTGAGGGCACACCCAGGTTGATCCTAGTGTAGTCATGGTATTTACATCCACTCACATTTTCAGTTTCTGTGTCTCTTGTCTGCTTCTGACTTTGCCCAGAGAAAGCTTCCTTTTTGCAAGGGTTCTTAGATTTATGTTCACGGAGCACCTTCTTTTCTGAGGTAATATTTTTGCAATGTTTATTTTCCTAGTCAGTCTCGCCTCACCCTTCTTGTTGTACATGATGCCTTTTGTCCTGACCCATTCTCTGAGTCTGTAAAATAGAATTGCTCTACAATGTAATTACACAAAATCTTTAAGAATCTTAGCACACTTACACCTGATTTAATATTTTATTATAGTCAAATTGAACAACCATGTGTGAATTTGATAGTGATATCTCCCAGGGATCCTAACGTGTAAGAAATAGGTCTTCGTATTATCTATTTTTTCATATACCACATACCAGATACTGATTACGATGGACATTTAACCACTTTTTTCTCATTATGAAAGAATGTTAGGAATTACTTCTTTCAGTAGTGTCAGTGTAACTTGAAACGTGCCTTTGAAAGAATAGTTTTTGTATAGCTGTCTGAAAGGAATTTTTTTCCAAGATATTTCCCCAGTGCTGGAGACAAACACACAGACACAGCCCGAAAGCTGAGTGTACGGGGCTGCGCAGTGGAGGCGCCTGCTGCAGCAGCCGAGGGTTGTGTCTTTGCTGTACGTGACAAGGCTGTGACAGGGCCAGTAACTGTGTGTCTCTCCCTCACCTTCCCAAGGTCACTTTGGATCTTCAGAGCAGCACGGAAAAGTTTGGGGGGTTTCTCCGCTCAGCCTTGGACGTTCTCTCTCAGATTCTAGAGCTGGCAACACTGCAGGACATCGGGAAGGTTTGTGTCTTGTTTTCTTCTCCCTGGGTTGTGGCTGGCACACTTGCTGTGCGTCCTCTGGGCTCAGTGCATCTAAGACGGAGCCTGGTTCCTCAGGGTGGCTCTGGGAGGCTTCTCCCTGCCCCACGTGCTTCGTGTCACGGGACCCAAGTCTGACTCTGCCTTAGCCATGAAGTTTGGGATAAAGGTCTATTTGTATTCTGTTTTCATTTGTTATCATGTATTAGCTTAGACCCAGTTTAGTTTAGAAAATTAGTGGGTTTAAAAATTTTGAGGTCTCTTTTCTCTACACCATGGTTCTCAACTTATTTTGGGGGAAATATCTTGAGCCGAATACAATGGGAAAAGAGTCTCTACCCCTTTCTGTTCGAAATTCATTTTTATCCCTTTCTGTCTGAACAAAAACTGTATGGAATCAACACCACCCGAGCTCCGTGGGAAAAAGAGAAACCTGCTTCCTTCGCTTTGCTGGAATCAGAAGGTGCTAGGCCCCTCTGTATACTGGGCTCAGAGAGTACACTGTGTCTCTGTGAATATGGACAGTTAGCATTTACCAACATGTATCTGTCTACTTCCTCCTGTTTAAAGGGAGAAAAAAAAACTTTAAAAAATGGGGTTATAGAAGGTCAGCAAAGGTCGATTTGAGAAGCTTGGGTGGGTTAAGTGAGCATTGTGACAACATGGCTTCTCCTTTGGCATGTTTAATTGTGGCATTTGACAGACATCCTTGCAGTTAAGATGACATTTTTAAAATAAACTCTCTCCCAACGATGACTTGAGCCCTGCCACTCAATGGGAGAATCAGCAGAAGCTGTAGGATCTTATTTGGAATTGACATTCTCTATTGTAATCTTGTTCCTGTTTATTTTTAAATTTTCTTTTTGTTTCACTGGAAAGGAAAGATGATGCCAGTTTTAAACGTTAAAAGTATGCGAGTTGCTTTGTTACAATAAAACTAAACATGTACACAAGGATTTGATGCTTTTCTTTCAGCATAGGTATGCTTACTATGACCTTCCAAGGTTGACTTGTATAACATCACTGTCACACTTTGTCACCCTAGCTTCATGTTTTTTGATACACACTTTGTAGGATGTCCTCAGGGCTATGTGGATTGAGTAATGGGATCTGAATCAATGTATTAATATCTCTATAGCTGAGAAACATGGGTACAATTTGCCCTTGGTTTCTGAAAGTATTCACATCATTTGAAATACCAGATTGCTCAATACTTTCTGAGTATACTGTGCCCTTGATTTTTGTCTCCAAGTGGCAGTTTTTAAAATTGGCCTTTTATGTGGATATAAAATAATAGTGCCTGCCACCACCATCCACAGACCTGGTGCTCTAATGCCAAGTCGTACTTGGGACAATTGCTGGCATGTCTTCATTGGCTATATAAAATGTGGCCAAGGAGATAGGCGCTCATGGTTAGCAGTAACTGTCCCTGCTGTCTGGTATAAAGCTCTCAAGTGTGACTACGTGAATCTGTGTGGGATAATGGACCCAGCTCTGTCTGCTCAATGCCATTGTGCAGAGAAGCACCCTAATGCATAAGCTTTTTAATGCTGTAAAATATAGTAGCTGAAATTAAATGTCACTTTTTTCAGAGGTGAATTAATGGACAGTCCGGTGAAATTCAAAAGCTTTTTGATGTGTAAAACTTGATGAATGGAACAATTCCATCCATAGGCAAAAGTGTAACCACCTGTCTAGATGGATAGTGTATGATTTCTGCACAGGTCTCTGTTCTTAGTAAATACATCATTATACTGATCAGGAATCTTGCTCTCCAATAAAGGAACATAAAGAAAAAAAAAAAAAAAACTGGGGTCGGGGGGAGGTGTGACTTGCTCCTTTGTGCCTGAGGAAGTAACAGAGCTGGGGTTGACAGTCATGTTCTTTGGCTTTATGTCCAGGAATTTCCCCTACCGCACAAAACTATAGGAAAATTAGAATTCTGTGGTAAACACTCTATTGTGTACCCACAATCCAGCTTCTGCAGTTGTTCACGTTTGGCTAGATTCGCTTTCTGTGTGTGTAACCGTCTCCCCATTCACCAGCACAGCTTACTTTCTAATGCATTTTGAAAGGAGTGACAGATGCATCCCTTCAAACGTGTGTCTCCAAGTGAAATGCAGTATGTCCTTTGTTGTTATGTCTCTGAATCTTTTTATCTGGACGTGCAAACAAGGTTACCTAGTTTTAATCATTACACATGTTAGTGTTTCTTCTCTGTTAGTCCTCATGTTTTAACCCATATGTAAATTTAGTGTGTGCACTTGTCATTTTTAATGGCCCTCTAGTGTCCTGCTGTGTTGATACTCTGTCGTTCCCTGAGAGTAAAACTTGCTGAGACTTCAGTAATGTCACCTTGGTGTGAGGCTTTCCTGGCCATCCTTTTGAAACTCGCTTCTCTCTGTACTCTGTGTTGTCTTTTCCTGTTCATTTTTCTCTTTGACCCATAGCATCATCTAACAGTCAACCCTAAAAAAAAGGCATGAGAGAAATGTCCAAATACAGGTGGTCAATTTAGGATGAGAAATGAAGATTATAATTTGGCATGCATGGCATGGCCGGCCACCAGTGCCTCTGGTGAGGGAAGGGTAAGGGGGTGTCTTACTGTCGGAAAGGGAGAGAATCACAGAAGCTCCCTGGAAGCCGAGTTCATTGGCTCCAGAGGCTGAAAGCCAGAGTTGTCGTCATTCACTGGTGGAATTGTAGGCACTGGGCAGGTGTTCACTGGGGGAGGATTTTAGCTGAATTGCTGCAGTCCTCAAGAATGGCTAGTGATAAATCTGGTCATAGAACATATGTATTCATGCGGAACGTGCAAGCTGCGCACAGCAGGTATGTAAAGGATGCACTTGAAGGGTTTCTTGTGGGGTTGTTGGAAAGTCTTTGGAAACAGGCCTTACCTTGGACACGTAAGCATGAACCCCATCTCCTTTGTGCCTTCCTGGCCCAATTCTGTCTGGGTCTGACAAAGTGATTTCAAAGTATCTGCAACTTTCACAAAACATTCTGTTTATGCTACTTCTTTGTTCTTCAGTGCCATAGCAGTACCGGAAAGGTTGTGCTGTTCAGTGAACATCTGTTGAACGAAGAGATGTTCTTGTTAACACTTAGTTTGAGTGTCGCTTTATCTTATATCCACACTGTGATGGAGCCATATTAGCCCATTTGACACCATAGCTTGAAACTGAAAGTTGTGACCATTCGCAGGGCCAGATAAGTCAGTGGCAGAGCCTGAGTCAAGTCTCATGGTTTTTCAGAGCTCCCTCTCTTTGCCCTAAACCACTGTGCTTAATAAGAGCTCTTTAGTGGCTGACAGTCTCCGTGTGTCACACATTTTAGCAAAATGGAAAATACTAGATGTTTTAAATTTGAATGTGAGATATACTGAAATAAAAATCATCTAAATGAGAGTTTTTAAATAAGATTTTCTGAGAGTTTTTAAATAAGATTTTCTTTTTTGTATGTAGGATTTTTTTTAACCTTTTTATTATGACTGCCATATATAGAAATGGTTTTCAGTTACAGTCAGTGAATGTGTCAAATGCTGCCTTATCCAAAGAATAAATTATTAACAAGTCACAATTTAATGAAGATTGACGTTAGTTGATATTTATATTCCTGAAATCAGCCATATGGTTGTGTTTGTGTACATATTTTTAAAGGTGCATATAGATAATAATTTTATCTCTGAAAATGTTTGCATTTGGCATAAGAATTACCAGATAATTAACCATCTTATCCTCTGTCCTGTGTCTTTACAGGTAAAGGTAGATTTGCTCACCAGTACTTTTTTTTTTTTTTTTTTTTTGTAGTTTTTGAGACGGAGTCTTGCTCTGTCTCCAGGCTGGAGTGCAGTGTCATGATCTTGGCTCACTGCAACCTCTGTCTCCCGGGTTCAAGTGATTCTCCTGCCTCAGTCTCCCAAGTAGCTGGGACTACAGGCATGCTCCACCATGCCCAGCTAATTTTTGTGTTTTAGTAGAGATGGGGTTTCACCATGTTGGCCAGGAATGGTCTCGCTCTCCTGACCTCATGTTTTACACCCCCAGCCTCCCAAAGTGCTGGGACTGTAGGCGTGAGCCACTGTGTCTGGCCCCTGTTCAGTGCACATCACTAATTGTGTTTTTATCTTAGAAGTTTGATATAAGTCTTTAAAAAACTTCTCCCTGTGTCTCTGCTTAGCTTTGTGAACATAGTTGTAATAGCTGATTTAATGTCCTTCTCTGCTAGTTCTAAGATCTTATAATAACGTCTCAGTTGTCGGTGTTTTTGGTTGATTGATACTCCGCATGGATTGTGCTTTCCTACCTCTTTGCATGCCCGCTGGTTTTTGATTGGATGCCCAATATTGTGAATTTTACTTTGTTGGTTGCTAGATATTTTTTGTGTTCCCATAAATCTTCTTGAACTTTGTTTTGAGGTTAGTTGAGTTACATATAGATGGTACTCTTTTGGGTCTTGCTTTATAATTTGTCAGATGGGTTGGAGCAGTGCATAGTCTAGGACTAATTATTCCTCTACAGTACTCAGGAGGCAAGACCTTCCTGAGTACTCTACCTAATGACCCAGAAAGCTCGGGTTTTCCAGTGTGCCTGCTGAGAACAGTGACTGTTTCCAGCCCTGTGTGAGCACCGAGCACTGCTCCCTCTAATCCTTTCAGTTGGTTCTCTCCCTGGCATCCGGTAGTTTTCACACACACACAGCTTTGCTGAGTACTTGAGGGGGGACATTCCCCAGATCTCCAGGGCACTCTCTGTCTTGTTCTGTCTTCTCTGGTACTCGGCCTTATGAACCGTGGCTGTGTTGGTCTCCTTAGATTCACAGAGCCTCTTCAATTCAGGGAGTTGCCTGTCCCTCCTCCTTGTGCCACAGCCTAGAAACTCTCAGAGCAGTGAGCTGGGCAGTCGTAGGGCCCACTTTGTCTCTTGTCTCCCAGGGCTCACTGTCCTTCATTGCTGACGTCCAGTGTCTTGAGGACTGTGGGTTTTGTCTGTTTTGGTTTTCGTTTTCTTGGGTTGTTTCAGGCAGGAGGGTAAACCCAGTTTGTCACCTTCATTGTGCTCAGTAGTGGAAGTCTCATATTTTATATTGGATACTAGGATTTGGTACCCTGGGACTCTGGGAGCTCTCCAAAGGCCAGAAACAGCGTGCTTTCTCCCCGCTTTCCAGGGCTTCAGTTTCTGGTGCACATCAAGCATTCCATACACATTTGTTAAGGTCCTTTGTTAGACAAATTGTGATTCACAGGCTCTGTTTGTCCTGTTTTCAGTTAGCATGTAGTAGATATCTGCTGGGAGCTAGTAAAAACGAAAAGTGCCATACGACAAATTCAATTCTGAGAACAACCATACACATTCAGAATATAACTTGAGTACATCAGAATTTTAAAAACGTATGGCCCTTGAGTATTTGAAGCCAACAAGAATCTATTGCTTATTAGTAGAGGTATTTTGTCGAACAAGGGGAGAGGGAAGCACTTTCAATCTAATTGGTGTTGGCTTTTAGCAGCTGATAGAAACCAGTTTATGATTAGCCAGGCATTGGCGAAACAGGCTGTGCATTCTGAATGCCTGGATTGGTGGCGCTCTTTGAGTTGGCATCTTCTTCTTTCTTGATTCTTTGAGTTGGAGTTGCACTGTTGTTGTCCAGGCTGAAGTGCAGTGGTGCCATCTCGGCTCACTGCAACCTCTGCCTCCCGGGTTCAAGTGATTCTCCTGCCTCAGCCTCTGACGTAGCTGGGATTACAGGTGTATGCCACCACATCTGGCTCATTTTGTATTTTTAGTAGAGATGGGGTTTCACCATATTGGTCAGGCTGGTCTGGAACTCCTGACCTCAAGTGATCCACCTGTTTCAGCCTCTGAAAGTGCCTGGATTACTGGTATGAACTACCCTGCCTAGCCCCTTCTTGATTTTGGAAAGGACGTTGGGTGCCGTACACATTGTTATAGATGTTGATAAAAATAGCTTGTGAGAATAATAACATTAAGGTAGTTATTTTGGTCATTTTGCAGATCACTATAAGACAATTCTAGGGCTAATTTGTGGTAAATCACACATTGCTGTATTATGTGTTGTGCTTATTGGACATATTCAGGGGCCCTATGGAGGCAGAGCTCTTAGCTGCTTTGCACACTTCTGAATTTCTGCTCTGAGAATAGTACTGGATACCTAGTAGACAGTAGGTACTTGATAACAGTTTATTGAATGAATGAGTTAATAAAGAGATACATAGATGCCTGAAAGAATGGGATAACTTGGACTTCAAGGCTTTTTACTGACTCTTCAAAATAAGAAATGGAAAACTTCCCTCTGATTTTGCTCCACTACTTACATGATTTAAATGGAAGCCGTGTTGTGCTTTTGATTTCTATCTAGGGCTTTGTACAATAATGGGTCGTCTCTGAGTCTCTTAATGTCTCACTGTTCTTTCCACAGTGTGTTGAAGAGATCCTAGGGTACCTGAAATCCTGCTTTAGTAGAGAACCAATGATGGCAACTGTTTGTGTTCAACAAGTAAGAGCCTCATTTCTTTTCCTGTATCTGTTAAGACTTTCGGGTATGATGACAAAACACTGCTACTCCTTAAGAAGCAGGTGCTGGTGGTGTGATCAGCTGGAAGGATTGAGAGGTCCAGCCTAGTACCCCTCGGCTTACTCCATGATTGAGCCAAGAAGGCATCCTTCCCTTCGCTTCCCAGGACAGGGGCTGTCACTGTGGAGGGCAAAGGGCATGAGAAGCTCGCCTGCAACCACGCTAGTTAACTTCCCGTCCCTCGGGGTTTTTGTTTAGAGTGCCCAATCTCCTGTAGAATCACAGGGAGACCCAAAACCCTTAAGATACAAACAGCACTTCATACAGTATCTCGTGAGGTATTAATAGTGATTCACGAGAAGAATTTCACAGTCTGAATCTTTGCTGACATATCCAGTTATTTATAGATGGATTTGGTATTTGCGTGGGAAATTCTTAAAGTGTTTGTTGTTCATGCCACATTGTTGATGCTTCAATTTCTTCACTATAGTTATTGAAGACCCTGTTTGGGACAAACTTGGCCTCCCAGTTTGACGGCTTATCTTCCAACCCCAGCAAGTCACAAGGCCGAGTACAGCGCCTTGGCTCCTCCAGTGTGAGGCCAGGCTTGTACCACTACTGCTTCATGGCCCCGTACACCCACTTCACCCAGGCCCTCGCTGACGCCAGCCTGAGGAACATGGTGCAGGCGGAGCAGGAGCACGACACCTCGGGGTAACAGTTGTGGCAAGAATGCTGTCGTTGGTGGAAACACGAAAGAGCAAGCAGGAAATACTTTGTAAAAGAATAAAAACGAAAAATGGTAGCCAACATCTTCTTATAGTCTGCTGTATTCAAAGAACTCTAGGAAGTAATGGTTGATGCAAAGATGATTTAAGGCATAGCCCGGCCTTCCAAGAAGTGTGTGGCCAGTGAGTGAGATGGGCTTGGGACTTACACATCTCAGAGGTGGGGGTAGAGAAGGAGGAACACTGAGTGGCTGAGAAGCAGCCAGCTTTCATTGCCAAATTGTGTCAGCAAACCAGAACTGCCACCCATTCAAAGCACTGGCCCTTGAGAGTGGTGTGGCACGTGTTGATGGCACTTTTGTCAGGCCTGTAACAGGATGAAAGAACAGCTTCATTGCAGCACAGTAGTGCTGGTGTGCAGAGGTGTGTGAAGGGCATAGAGTCTAGGATATATTACCTTGTGTTATATAAACTTTGCGACTAGAAGTGTCTTTTCACTTAAATTTATGTTTGTGTTTTTAATGCCTGGGATACAGGACTTCTTAAATTGCCATAAGAATGAAAGGTATTTGAGTTGCCAATCTATGTAGTAGCAATAATGGAATCCTTTGTTTTTCCTTTTATAAACGTAGCGATTAAATAGCTACAATTAAAACACTAGAGTCAGGAGTCAAGGAAAATATCCATGTTCCAGGCTGTAGGTTGGTGATGTACTTACTGTATATTCGAGTTTCAGGAGTAAGTCTGTTTAAATGCTTTATTTGGGGTATTAATAAGCATGTGAGTGTGTGCATGTTTGAGTTAATTTCATATTGTTTCTTAGAAAGGATATAATTGATGTAAATACTTTAAAGGCTTTTCCTCCAACAAAACCATGTGATTTATTCTAAATTACTGGATCTTTCCAATGACCTTCACCTTTCACTCAAGTATCACTAAAGACTGGGCTGAGTAGTCAGTTACCTGTAGCAGAAAAAAAGCTCAGACTTGAGGAGCCTTCTACGGGTGACGAGACTTGATGGCTCTCAGGCAGCTGTAAACTCTAGTCATTATCTCAAGAGGGTGATGCCACCACACTGAGTGGCCTTTCAAGTTGTTTCTCAGTCTGACACGTTCTGATCATGTGAATGTGAAATAGGTTTGAGCAGGAGTATATCTGAGTGCACAGGAGATTATTTAAGGATATTCTCATTCTCTGCTTCCCTTTTATTCCCATTTGGCAGATGGTTTGATGTCCTCCAGAAAGTGTCTACCCAGTTGAAGACAAACCTCACAAGTGTCACAAAGAACCGTGCAGATAAGGTAATTGGTACCATCTGCGGCATGTGAACTCAGGCATGTCAATGCCAGAGATGAAACTAGAGCTGAGACTTTCCAGGTATTTTGTGTGAAGCTTTTAGTTGAAGACTCACTTACGGATTCTTTCTTTTTTTTTGTAGAATGCTATTCATAATCACATTCGTTTATTTGAGCCTCTTGTTATAAAAGCTTTAAAACAGTACACAACAACAACGTCTGTGCAGTTACAGAAGCAGGTTTTAGATTTGCTGGCGCAGCTGGTTCAGTTACGGGTTAATTATTGCCTTCTGGATTCAGATCAGGTTTGTCACTTTTATCTTTCATCCATCATACCTGTTCCTAATTTAGTACAAACTAGTCTAAAAGACACTGAAATCTACCTTAAAGAAATGTGAACTGTGTTTTCCCCCATCAGTTGCTGCTGCTTATCTATTTCATGCACTTAGCTAGTGCACAAGGCCTGGGGCAAAGCTAGCCTCAACAAGTCGGCGTCCCTGCCCCAGTGCCACGGACTCAAAGCTAACCTGAGTTAAATTGTAAGACATAGTTAAGATTTATTGTTTGGGGAACATTTTTTGCAAAATCTAGAGACTTAGTTTAGATGGATTATCAGTTACGGTCTTCTGTTTCAAGCTGTCTAACAGGTTAGCTTGCCTCTTTAAAAAGGAATTGGAATATAGAAGGACAGCAAGTGAGAACCGCGATCCTGGAGTTCACGTGGGAGCTGTGTAGCTCTGCACAAACATTTGCACTCTTTCCCTCTCGGCTGCATTGCCTTCCTCCTGCAGTGGCGTACTGACAAGTACTTACATTAGGGTCCTAAAGACTGGGCTGAGCAGGCAGTTTCCTGTCATGTCCTTCATGACACACATTCTTAAGATTCATGCCAATTAAATCTCTGCAGATGAAACTGCCTTTCCATCGTCAAAGTTTAACTGTCATTTTTGAGCCATGATCTTGGCCTACTTTCTTACGTGGGGTAGGAATTTTTTTGAGATAGAAATATTACACTTCTCTGTTTCCTTCTAGACATACATCTATCTGTTGATCCTGTCAGCCCTTTTATTCACCTGAAAGGGTCTGTTTCCCTAGGAGAACTGAGGGCACGAGGTCAACACTGATTTCCCACAGTGGGTATTGGGGCAGGGTCTGCCTATAATGAAAGAGGCATCAAGGGGTGGGCTTTGCCCTGGCCTGATTCTTTGACCCTTCTTTCACAAAACCTATCCCAAGAAAATCCATCTAAATGGGCCATTGCTCTCCTCAGGAAACATGCATTGGGAACTTTCCTTTCCTTTGACACTAGGAGGCTGCCTGGGGAGAAGCCCTGGTCTATGGCTGTGGGCAGCACGGGCTGAGAGGAGCAGGATCTCAAGAGGGCAGGGGCGCCCCAACTGGTTTAGTTCTGAAACTAAACCAGTTTCAGAAGCCAGATCCCTGATTTGTTCCGTTCTGGTAAGAACAAAGAGTGTAGTCTACCTTTTCTTTAAAATGTCCCAGTACCAGCTGGGCATGGTGGCACACCTCTGTAGTCCTAGTTACTGAGGAGTCTGAGGCGGGAGGATCACTTGAGACCGGGAGTTTGAATTCAGCCTGGGCAACGTGGCAAGACCTGTCTCTAAAATAATAGTAATAATAATAATTCCTATCTCTGGCAGGGTACAGTGGCTCATGCTTGTAGTCCCAGCACTTTGGGAGGCCAAGGCAGGTAGATCATTTGAGGTCAGGAGTTTGAGAACAGCCTGACCAACATGATGAAACCCCACCTTTACTAAAAAAAAAAAAAAAAAAAAAATTAGCTGGGCATAGTTGGTGGGTGCTTGTAATCCCAGTTACTCAGGAGGCTGAGGCAGGAGAATCACTTGAACCCGGGAGATGGAGGTTGCAGTGAGCTGAGATTGCGCCACTGCCCTCCAGCCTGGGTGAGACAGAGCGAGACTCTGTCTCAAAAATAATAGTAATAATAATAACTTGTGGTTGTGACTCATCATAGGTAGAAACTGATTTTCTCATATGGTAATTACAGACTATGGTCTCTTTGGGGCTGTCTTTAGTAGGAAAAAAAAAGACAACTCCACACTCTAACATAAAAGGGGTAGACTTGAATGTTGTATCAAATTGTTTAGTCATTCTGCTAGAGCGTTTTCTTCAGTGTAGAATACTTTCTGTTGCTTTCTCTGTCTGCAATCCCCATGCAACTCTTCCATGTTGAGGGAGGACAGCCTTGAGGCTCCCCCATGCTGCATGCACTCTGCAGGCATGTGGAATTCATCTCTGGCATGTGCTTCCCTCTGGGTCCCGCTGCCGCCTGCCCCCCCAGCCAGCGAGGCTCATGCCCAGCTGCCCTTCGTGGTGGTGTGGGGTCGTTCCTGCTGTGAGCACTCTGGTTTCCTGTTTGTTCTGATTGCCTTTCATCAGCCAGTCTCTGTGCCTTTCTCCCAGTTCTTAAGATTCAATGCAGTGACGGTTTTATGAACAAGAATAGAACACTATAACAGACACACCATTGAACTCTATGCTGATAATGGTTTATTGAGCACCTGCTGTATGTTTGCATTCCGCCCAGAGGCTCTGAAAAAGCCGGCGCCATATGCTCCATGCTTTATCCGTGGAAGCTCCCCATCAGATTGGGAAAGCTGGCGGCTGCATGGAATACTAGTGTGACACAAAACTGGCTCTCGTGCAGCCCTGATGCGCTGCCTCTCGGATGGTGGGAGGAAGAATGTCGACTCCTCTGGGTATCTTCTTACTAAACCAGCTTCAGGGAATCTGTTCTACTCTGTCTGCCATTAACTGGAACAGATGAGTCCCCAAGATGTACTTTTGGGTAATCCCTGACGTCTCTTGGAATTTAGTATTTGTTTTTCCGCTGAGGTTTCACCTCAGTGTGTAGTAAAGTTGCTGTTGAGGGGATTCCTGGATGTGCTCTACAATTATCTAGGATTATTTCAGAGTAGAGTTATGCTTATAGTCACATTTATCAGCTCTCAAGAAATTTAAAATTTATGCAGATGAACAGGAGGAGTAGAAACCTCGTTTTTACATTGTAATCCTACTATTGACGTGAAATTCTGTCTTCCTTCCCGTAGGTGTTCATTGGCTTTGTGTTGAAACAGTTTGAATACATTGAAGTGGGTCAGTTCAGGTAATAACATTTTATTATTTTAGATTTTTTTCCTCCTCCTTGTGTACTTACATGTCATTTGGGTTATTAAGATGAATGTTTAAAGTACTGTTAGGCATTTTTGCTGTTTTTTTTAAGTGGAAGTCTGATTAACATGCTGTGCATTTTTGCTTATCTTAAAAATTAATGTATATCTCAAGACTTGTTTGGAAGTAGTTATGTATCTGAAAATTCCATGTGTTGTCAGTTTTCATTATATATTTCAAAGCATTTAATTGTGTTGACAGGTGGCAGAATGAAATCTCATGTGGTGGAGCATTAGTTTTTAAATCTTCTTAGAGAAAGCAGTTTTTATATAAGGATGTCTTTAGTAATTGTGCACTTATAACTGCAGCTATTTTGTTGCTAGATGTTGAGGTTTTAATACTTCTTGCTACATCCATTACAGGTTTATAATTATTAAAAATTAAAATTCTTTAATTCCTGAAATACGTAATAAATACTGTAGTTAGGAAAACTTAGTGCAGAAGGAAAGTGCTCTCAGATTCCCTGCGGTCTGGAGACGCAGAGTTTATTCTGATTACATGACACCTCCACTGTGTTTCGGGGAAAGTTGCTTTTTCTCCTTTGAGTCTCAATTTCTTCAGGGGGAAAGGGGTAGAGGAGAGCTAGGAAGATCGTAGCTGCTGTGCCCCTGTGCCATCAGCAGCCTTCTACCTGCTCCCTCTGAACCCTTTTACCTGTCCTGGCTCTGCATGAGGGCACAAGTGGGTTGCACTGTGGTAGGCACAGGGTGAGAGTAGATCACTGACCGATGGGAGGCACTGTGCAGGGGTGGGTGAGGGTAGATCACTGACAGCTGACGGGAGGCACTGTGCAGGGGTAGGTGAGAGTAGATCACTGACAGCTGACGGGAGGCACTGTGCAGGGGTAGGTGAGAGTAGATCACTGACAGCTGACGGGAGGCACTGTGCAGGCACAGGGTGAAAGTAGATCACTGACACCTGTTAGCTTAATGCGCACTTGCTCTCACGGCCGAATCATAAGTTATTTTATGTTGCTTATGTTGATTATATTTGTGTATCTTCATTTGAACAGAAAGATCTATGTCGATTTTTTCATTTCTAGGGAATCAGAGGCAATCATTCCAAACATCTTTTTCTTCTTGGTATTACTGTCTTATGAACGCTATCATTCGAAGCAGATCATTGGAATTCCTAAGATCATTCAGCTCTGTGATGGCATCATGGCCAGCGGAAGGAAGGCTGTGACACACGGTAATGGAACACACCTTTCACTGTCGTCTTCGGTGACCTGACGTGCTTGGCAGTGTTCGTTTTCATACACCCACTTTCAGCTTTGTAAATCTGTGTCTTTGTACACGAATCTACCGATTAGAGATATTTCAAAAGAGAACAGAGCATGTTCTTTACTCTCAGCAGTTTGTAGTCTTCTCAGGGGAAAAAAAATGGAAGAAACAGTAAGACAGCCTAAGGTACAAATAGATTCTGAATATAAAGTTCCTGTTCATTCACATGAAACACTAAACATTTTTTGTTTGATCTCAGCCAAAAGACCAAGAAGCGATAAAACACTAAGGTTCTTAAATCCAACTTGCCGTAAATTAAATTTTGGTTTCTCACCCAGTGGCATTAGAGATACAGTTTAACTTGGTTCGGGCTTTCTGTTTTGCCTGATGGTTTTGCTGGAGCTTAAATAAGGACCCCAGGAGATGGCCAGCTGTGCAGGCTCCCAGCCCGTGGCAGGAGCTCTTGTGGTTTTGTAAATGAGTCGTCAATCTTTCTTTGAGGTTTTTGAACTGGACTTCGAGCATTGCCCTGCTGACCCCTCCCTGACTCCTTTGCTGGAATCTGTAGGCTTTTAAACTTTGACAGGGACACATCCCGAGACCCTTGCAGACCCCTAGATGTGACAATAGCACTACTGCCTAGTCCTTTCCACTCAGCGTGTGTGCAGGAGAGCATCAACCACGCTGTGTTTTGAGGCAGGGCCTTGGCTGACCTCTCACTCTTTACATAGCTAAGCTGGTTAGTCTTTGCCATGGCCGCACAAGGGCTTCAGCTTCACACAGCCACAGTATAGATTATTCAAGGCATAGGTGTTTTGCTTTCCTGGATTTGGAGGGTCTTCTGGCAGAGAATCAGCAGGCAGCCAAACTCGGCACTTTCTGCTGGGAAGCTTGGTCATCTGTGAGAGGGTCAGAAAGTGTGCCCCTCCATGTGTGCCTCTGAAGGGTCTGTGAGTATTCCTGTGTGTGCATGTCTTAGGGCCAGAGTGTGTATGTCACTGACACGTCAGAGTGTTTGTGTGCATTCGTGTCCCAAGAGGGTTGCAGTGTACCCTTCACTGAGGGGTCAGGGTGTGCCATGTGTGTGTGTGTCACTGACGGTGTCAGTATTTTGTATGTGCATGTCACTAAGGCATGAGAGTGTGCCGTGTGTGTATGTGTGTGCATGTCACTGACAGGGTCAGTGAGTATTCTTGTATGTGCGTGTCACTGAGGGGTCAGAGTGTGTCTCTGCTCGTGTGTGAGTACGTGTTACTGGGGGTCAGTGTTCCTGTGTTTGTGTGACACTGAGGGGTCAGAGTGTGTCTGTGTGTGTGCGTGCATGTGTGAGTGTGTGTGTGTGAGGACATGTCACTGAGGGATCAGTGAGTGTTCCTGTGTGCGTGTGTCACTGAGGGGTCAGAGTGTGTCTCTGTGTGTGTGTGCATGTGTGCGTACGTGTCACTGAGGTCAGTGAGTGTTCCTGTCTGTGTGACACTGAGCGGTCAGAGTGTGCCTCTATGTGTATGTGTATGTGTGAGTACGTGTCACGGAGGGATCAGTGAGTGTTCCTGTGTGCATGTGACACTGTGGGGTCAGAGTGTGCCTCTGTGTGTGTGTGCAAGTGTGAGTACATGTCACTGAGGGATCAGTAAGTGTTCCTGTGTGTGTGACACTGTGGGGTCAGAGTGTGCCTCTGTGTGTGTGTGTGCAAGTGTGAGTACATGTCACTGAAGGATCAGTGAGTGTTCCTGTGTGTGTGCCACTGTGGGGTCAGAGTGTGCTTCTGTATGCGTGTGCGTGTGTGAGTACATGTCACTGAGAGGTCAGTGAGTGTTCCTGTGTGCATGTGACACTGAGGGGTCCGAGTGTGTCTCTGGGTGCGCGCGTGTGTGTGTGAGTACCTGTCACTGAGTGTTCCTGTATGTGTGTGACATTGAGGGGGTTAGAGTGTGTCTCTGGGCATGTGTGCATGGGTGAGTACATGTCACTGAGGGATCAGTGAGTGTTCCGGTGTGTATGTGACACTGAAGGGTCAGAGCGTGTCTGTGTGTGTATGTGTGTGTGTACGTGTCACTGGGGTCAGCGAGTGTTTCTGTGTGCGTGTGACACTGAGGGGTCAGAGTGTGCCTTTGTGTGTGTGCAGGTGTGTCACCGAGGGGTCAGTGTTCTGTGTGTGCATGCCGTTGAGGTTCAGAGGGCTCCTGTGTGCCAATGAAATGGGTTTTGTAGATTTTTTAATATGTAGTCATAGTAGACCAATTATTTTGACTCCTAGTTTAGACCAAAACAATACCTGGGGGAAAATCCCTTATCTAATGAGAAAGTGAGTTTACTGAGAAAAGCATCATCATCCGATGGCTTTCATTAAATGTATTATATGGCAGTTTTTGTTGTCTTTTCAGATGAACCAAGTAAATTAATCTTGAGACCAGGAAAGTTGCTGTTTTGGTTGTTTGGAAAGCTTTGTCATTTTCAGATTGACTTTTTGAGTTACCTTTTTTCAGAAGTGATGTTAAATTACAGGAGCCCTAGTTGTTTTTTTTTTTAGAAGGCATCACAAAATGATCAGTGCTCAGAGGAAGAGCCTTGACCTTCCACAATGGTATAATGATTAATTGATAACCTTAATTCATCTCTTATCATAAACCAAGTTTGTATAAGGATTTTCTTTATTTCTTGAAAGCATTTTGTAAATGTTGAGAGCAGTTTTCCAAATGTAATTTCCATGAAGTGCCTGATGAGGGTGCCCTTTTTTGCCCACAGCCATACCGGCCCTGCAGCCCATAGTCCATGACCTCTTTGTATTAAGAGGAACAAATAAAGCCGATGCGGGGAAAGAGCTTGAAACCCAAAAAGAGGTGGTGGTGTCAATGTTACTGAGACTCATCCAGTACCATCAGGTAAGAGAAATGTGTGGTGGGACTGTCGTGGAGACTTGATCGTCCCCATACAGATGGAAGGAAGTGCCGTGTGGTCTAGTTGTTTGCTAACCAGTTCAGAGTAGCACTCACTGTTAACAGTGTTGCTTTGAACCAGCGTTTAGCTTTCTGGGGCCTTGGGAGATGCCGGGGGACGGGCAGAAGGTGTCGTCGTTGTTTATCTTCAAAGTGGGCACAGCCGCAGGGGGCCACCTGACTCCTGGTCGGAGTCACCAGATCATTCAAGACAGTGAGGCCCTCTTTTCCAAAACAGGGACCAAAAAATCAATTGACAGTGTTGGTCAAGATGGTAGAAATCTGAAAAATGATAGAAATCTCAACTCTGAAATAAAAACTTTATTTGTAAATTTATTTACCACTATTTTGACATAGGGCTAAGGTCTTTTTCTTTGAGCTGACTTCTGCTTTTGTTTTTTGAAGGTGGCATAGGAATTTAAAGATGTTTCAAGGCAGCCTGAGTGCAGAAACCCAGCTTTTTTTAATGATTTCTCCTTTCGTTTAACTTGGACAGTTGTCTAGCCCTGGCTTATTTTGTCAATTCTTTTTAGCTGTTTGTCTTTGAATCTTTATGAAGCCATAAGCTTTTCTCATAAACAGCAACACTTTCTTTGTTCATTCTTATTTTAATCTCTGTAGTATTTAATTAAATACTTAATGCCCAATTAAATCACATAATTGCAATGAAAAAGTCCATGTATCATAAAGAGTGATCGCTCACAAAAGTGAGTGACTGGCAAGCCCGTCATGACAAGCAGAGCTGGCTGGGTGGGTGGGTGTCCTGGAGAGGAGCTCATCAGGCACTTGTTCAGTGAGCTCTGGGCGTGCTTCACGGAGAGTGTTTTGTTCTGATTCCCCATCGTTTCTCGTGTCATAGAGTGGCGATTGCATCAGTGTCCCCCTGTCCTCATTGGGATCACATCTGCTTGGATCCTAGAGTCTTCCAGCTGAGCTGGGACAAGTGTGACAGGTGGACGCGTTGGGGGTGGAAAGGCACCTCTTGGCAGCTGACTTTCTAATTGTGCACACTCTTGCAGGTGTTGGAGATGTTCATTCTTGTCCTGCAGCAGTGCCACAAGGAGAATGAAGACAAGTGGAAACGACTGTCTCGACAGATAGCTGACATCATCCTCCCAATGTTAGCCAAACAGCAGGTTTGTGCGCAGAACCTTGGCTCATGGTTGCATAGTGATGGTAACTTAAGGTCCTTGTGAAAGGCGGGTGGCTGGAATCAGCTATGTCTTCAGTCCTGATAGAGCTGTGCTTTGACGGCAGTTCTCCATGCTTGCTGGTCATGGGGCAGCTGACTTCATTTCTTCTCACAATGCCATCTCAGCTTGGTATTGCCCACCTGCTTTACAGGGGGAACCCCCAGCTCAGAGAGGTTCTGGGGGTGATCAGGCAGCACATGGGCTTGGAGTGCTGGGGTGAGGGCGGGCCAAGGCTGACTGTAAAGCCCGTGCCCTTACCTCCTGCACTGCCTCCTGCATTCTGCTCGACCCAGTGTTTTATTTGGTGGGTAGATTTTTGTTTTTGTTACCTCTCTACTTGTAATTTAGCTGTTTTCTAGTTCTTTCCTTTCCCTTTCTTTTTTTTAAGACAGGGTCTCGCTCTGTCACCCAGGCTGGAGTGCAGTCGTGTAATGTCACGGCAACCTCTGCCTCCCAGGTTCGTGATTCATCCACCTCAGCCTCCCAAGTAGCCAGGACCACAGGTGTGCACCACTATGCCTGGCTAATTTTTTGTATTTTTAGTAGAGATGAAGTCTTGCCGTGTTGCCCAGGCTGGTTTTGAACTCCTGGGCACAAGTGATCCACCACCCTTGGTCTCCCAAAGTGCTGGGATTACAGGTGCGAGCCACTTGGCCTGGCCAATCCGTCATTAATCAGAATTTTTATGATCCAATGGCATGAATTGTTGTTTCTGCAAATGCAGTGGAAGGAAATGGCCTGGCAGTGCCTTTTACCCATGGTTTCAGAAGCAGCGTGCCTCCGTCAGGCACAGGCCGCTGTGCCCCCAGTGTAGCAGCATCTTTGTAGCTCACAGAGAAGGGCGGTGGGGACCTCCTCAAGGCAACTCTGCCAGAAAATCTCATGAGCTGTCTGGCAAAGCTCGAGGTTGCCTTTTAAATGGACTCAACAAATACATGTTTGTTTATCTTGATTAAACAGCTACTCTGTATATGCAGGTAGTCTGTGGTTTTTGGCATTTGATTTAAACTTAGAGCCATGTGATATTGATGGCTACTGCCTTCATGCCTGCACCCCCATTCTGATTCCGTAACGGAATGTTACCCTGAGACTAGTTGGACAGTGGGACAGGGAACCTGGCTTCTGGTGAGATTGGCAGCAGTTTCAGTGTGGTCGGGTCTCCCTGCCTGCACATGGTTTTAGAGTGATGCTCTGGAAGATTTTCCCTTCTCTTCTGTGCATAATCTGAGTAGCGTGGAGATTGAAGGCCTGCATGCATGGTCCAATATCTGACTGTGTTTCTGCCGCAGTGGAAATTGTGTGTTAAAACATTTATGAAACACTAGCACAGCCCTGCCAGGTGGCTCAGCACAGATGCACGTTGCATTCAGAAGTAGTGCTGGATACTGTCCCCTTACTGGCAGTACATGCATCAGTGATCAAAGCACATTAAAGAAAACACCCCTGCCTTCTTGGAGTAAAGATTTTGTTGGGATGAGGGTGAGGGGACAGACAGTAAAAAACAAATTAGTGACGTCTGTACCATGTCGAATGATCAGGATCACTGTACGGAAGAATCCAGGAGGGAACAGAGGTAGGTAGTGTCAGTGTGGTGAATGGCATTGTTCAGTTGGTGATGAGAAGAAGCTTTGGCGATCTGGTGACACTCGAGTGAATTTGCAGAAAGAGCTGAGCCTAGGCGATACCTGGGGAAGGAGCATTCCAGGCAGAGCAAGCAGCAATGCAAAGGCCCTGGGGGGAGACATGCTGTTAGGGTACCAGCAGTGGGGCTAGGGATGGGGCCGCCATGGGGATGGAAGGGCGCGAGGCCTGGTGGGGTGAGGCCAGCATGGAGGAGCTTTGAGACGGTTTGCCGTCATGTGATGTAGGCGTTAGCAGGCTCATTCTTACTCCTGAGTTGAGAATAGCATTGAGGAGGAGGTGAAGGCAGAGCAGGGCCACCTGTGTGAGGCCCGGAAGTGGAGTGGAATTGCCTGAGTGGGCGTCCCTTGGCAGCATGAAACCAGAACCAGCAAGGTTTGCTGGTGGCTTAGATGTGGGATGTGAAGAGAACAGGGCATCGGGGGTGATGTCAGGGTGAGGACAGGGTGGCTGTGGATGAGGTGGGGCAGACATCAGGGGCAGCAGTAGGTCAGAGCCTATCTGGACATAGCAGTTGAGACCCCATAGGTCCTTAGTGAGTCGAGGTCACCATCAGGTGTTTGAGCCCGGAGTTGTTGAGAGACTGGGGCAGGAAGTCAGCATCTGAGATGTCCACTCACAGCGGACCCGGCCTGGCGGGAGAGCAGGAGAAGCTTGAGAACTGAGCTTGCTGAGTGCCAGCTCCGAGGTCAGGGAGGTGAGGGGGCCAGTGCTGGGGCAGGAGGAGCCGGCAGCTGCGGGGTTCCTCAAGCCAAGATTTGTTAAGGCGTTTTGTGGAGGAAGGCCACATTTGCTGTGAGCACCCTGGGAACTTGGTCCAGATTTGGCAGCGCCGAGGGCACTGGTGAGTGGTTTTGGAGGAGCAGAGGGAGCCAAACCCCAATAGGAGTGTGTTCCTGAAAGGACAGGAGAGAGACTTGGAAAGAGGTTTCACTGGAAGAGGGGATGGAGAAATAGGGGGGTAGCCAGAGGAGAAGACGAGTTGGCAAGGGGTTAAGTTGGCAGAAATTAGGGCCTGTTTACGCACTGAGGGCAGAAGCAAACCGGTAGTATCAGCTCATGACGTGGTGTTCACAGACACGGGTCAGGATTGGCTTCATGGATGACAGAGCACTGTGGGTTCTCTGAAAGGAGCTGGGGAGGAGGCAGAATTGGTGGGCACAGGTGAGGGTCCAGGTTGCAGGAATCCTGGAGCTCAGAAGCGCGGTTGTTCCCTTGTTGTAAGATGTGGCTGGTGCTGTGAGCTTCACATCTGTGCCTTGAAAAACACATCTCTTTGCAGAGTTGTTTACTGTGTGTATACACACTCAGTAGTAACAACAATTGGAAACAATGCCCACTGTCAATCAGGAATGGTTGAACACACTGTGATACAAGCTTAGACTATTGTAGCTTGGGCTATTTTGCATCATTAAAAATGTTCTGGCCAGTGCGGTGGCTCATACCTGTAATCCCAGCACTTTGGGAGGCCAAGGGAGGCAGATTGCTTGAGCTCAGGAGTTTGAGCAACATGGTGAAACCCTGTCTCTACTAGAAATACAAAACCTAGCTAGGTGTGGTGGTGTGCGCCTGTATTCCCAGCTAACTCAGGAGGCTGAGGTGGGAGGTTCACTTGAGCCCATTAGCGCACCGCTGCACTCCTGGGGGATGGAGCAAGACCCTGTCTCAAATAAAGAAATAAAAGAAATGGAAGAAATGGGAGGGAGGAAGGAAGTTCAGCCACTTGCCTGGGGAGTTTTCCATTGCACTGTTAAGTGAGAAAAGCAGAGACGTTTATGATTTATGATTTTTCAGAACAACTGAAACAAAACCTCTGGGTGTGAGGGGGCAGGGATATGGTTACAGGAAACTTTAGAAAAGGACAACATGCCAGTTTGCTAGCATTTGTTACAACTGTTGGGGGACGGATGGAGTGCAGAAAGAGAAAAAAGGAAGAGTGCACACTATCCTGTGTGTGTGTGTACAAAGGGATGCCTGGAAGACTGCTTCCCAAAATGTTGGTCATGATTGTATCAGTTGATTTTTTTCACACTTTTGTTTATTTGAGTCTTTTATAGAAAGTAATCCCAGCTACTCGGGAGGCTGAGGCAGGAGAATCACTTGAACCCAGGAGGTGGAGGTCGTGGTGAGCCAAAATTGCGCCACTGCACTCCAGCCTGGGCAGCGAAACTCCATCTCAAAAAAAAAAAACAAACCTAAATCTAAATGAAAAGATTTCCATCGTGGGAAAAAATAGCTGATACAGTGTTGTTCTAAAAAATGTTTGCTTTGCTCACCACTAAACTTAAAATGCTTTTAAATGGGGAAGGCAATGATGAGATGATGACAGTAATTTGCACTCGAGTCACATAACTGATGTATAGGAAGCTGTTTCTTTTGGCTAACACAGAAATGTTTGTGGTGTTTGACTCCACAGATGCACATTGACTCTCATGAAGCCCTTGGAGTGTTAAATACTTTATTTGAGATTTTGGCCCCTTCCTCTCTCCGTCCAGTGGACATGCTTTTACGGAGTATGTTTGTCACTCCAAACACAATGGTGAGTCTTGCCTGGCTCAGCAGCTGAACCAGGAGGGCTTGTTCACGCACTGATTGCTGGGACCACCCCCGGAATATCTGAGTTGGTCAGTTTGGGTGGAGCTTGAGAATTTGCATTTTTTAATAAGTTCCCAGGTGATATTAAAGCTGCTTCTCTGGGACCACACTTTGAGACTCAGTGATAGACAGATTTATTGGTAGGATGGTAAAATAGGGGCAGTTTTCTTTCACAAAATTGGCAATTGGGGGAAATTTAATCTTCCATTTTTCTTCAGCTATGACTTAGTATTTTGTTTATTTTAGGCATCTGTGAGCACCGTTCAACTGTGGATATCGGGAATCCTAGCCATTTTGAGGGTTCTGATTTCCCAGTCAACTGAAGATATTGTTCTTTCCCGTATTCAGGAGCTCTCCTTCTCTCCATATTTAATCTCCTGTCCAGTAATTAATAGGTTAAGAGATGGGGACAGTAATTCAACACTAGAAGAACACAGTGAAGGGAAACAAATAAAGAATTTGCCAGAAGAAACATTTTCAAGGTATGCTTTATATCTAAGCCAATAACCAATCCATGCCTTTTGGGAGGTCACGTGGTGTTTTGTGATCAGTAAGTCTGGAATAACACTTGGTCTCACTTCAGTTCTGAGTTGGGTAAAGTAGTTTGTATTAGTGTAATTTTCTAATCCGTCCTTATCTGTGGCTCTTAGTTCTTACCTCTCCTGAGGTTCTGTCATGTTCTGTCTCTTGTCCTCATTGGAGATGCTACAGCAGTGGCTCATCTCAGGCAGGGCAGGGCAGTGGGGTGTCTGTGCTAGGGGCAGACAGTATGGGTGCATTGCCTTCAGGAAAGTTAAAACCCAAGAGAAGCCACTAAAAGTGAGTCTTATATTTATTCTCACCATGTGCTGGCAGTTTTAGGCACTGTCAGTAATAAAATACTTCTCCCTGCAAGGCGGCTGGCCTCCACTGAATATCTGTAGTATCAAATCCTGTCTTCCCTCATACATTGCTTGGAAGCTCCCTGAGGACAGTGATCAGGCGTTCGTAAATGCTTGTTGACCAGATGGGTCTCTGTCCACCTCTGATGGATTCCGAGCATTCACTGAGTTCATGCAGCCGTCACTTGGTCTGTCATCGGCGGGGATGCCCTGTGTTGTTGATGGAGATGAGCCCAGTAAGCCTGCTGGGCATCTTTTTGTTTGCAGGTTCAGCAGCAGCCCGTGGCTTTCCCTCTGTCACATTGAAGCAGCTGGCTAAAACCGATGATACGTTAAATTTCTGTGACAGATGATCAGCTTATATTTGTATATTGCTGTACAGTTTATAAAGCTTAAAAAAAATGCTGCCTCCATTTTATCCTCAGCGAGGAAGGTGGTGCACAGAGAGGCAAAGTGACTGAACCCAGAGCAATGGCATTATGCATTTCACTTTACCTGTTTATTGTACTCTGCCTGGATTTTTACTTCCCTTACATCTACCGTATATATATTTTCATATATGCTTGGCATAAGTGCTGTATAGTAGTCACCTAATTCATTGTCATCCTTTTCTGTTTCTTGGAAGGTTTCTCTTACAACTGGTTGGTATTCTTTTAGAGGACATTGTTACAAAGCAGCTGAAGGTGGAAATGAGTGAACAACAACACACTTTCTATTGCCAAGAACTAGGCACGCTGCTCATGTGTCTGATCCACATCTTCAAGTCTGGTAGGTGAATCACATTAGTCTTCCCAGAGTATCTCATTCCCCGTTCTGCGCTGTACACTCTGAGTGTAGGAGCTGTGCTGCCTGGTAGAAACTCTGCCTTGCCCAGTGTGCCAGTTGGAAATGTTTGTTGCTGATAGAGTAAACCTGATACCGGCCAGGTGCTGCGGCTCACGCCTATAATCCCAGCACTTTGGGAGGCTGAGGCAGGCAGATTACTTGAGGTTGGGAGTTCGAGACCAGCCTGACCAACATGGAGAAACCCCAACTCTACTAAAAATACAAAATTAACTGGGCGTGGTGGCGCATGCTACTTGGGAGGCTGAGGCAGGAGAATCGCTTGCACCTGGGAGGTGGATGTTGCGGTGAGCCGAGATTGCGCCATTGCACTCCAGCCTGGGCAATGAGAGCGAAACTCCATCTTTAAAAAAAAGGGTGAACTTGATACCATATGACCCAGCAGTTCCACTCTTGGGTATATACCCAGAAGAAAAAAAAAGATATTTGTATGCCAGTATTCATAGCAGCATTATTCACAGTAGCTAAAATGTGGAAGCAACTGAAGTGTCCATTGATGGATGAATGGATAGGCAAAAGTCAGTATATACTTACACTGGAATATTATGCAGCCTTAAAAAAGAAGGACATTCTGACACATGCTACAACGTGGGTGACACTTGAGGACATTGTGCTAAGTGAAATAAGCCAGTAACAAAAGGACAAATACAGTGTGATTCCACTTATATGAGGGTTCTAGAGTAGTTAATTCGTAGATACAGAAAGTAGAATGGTGGTTTTCAGGGGCTGTGGGGGAGGGGGAGTTATTTTTTAATGGTTATATCATTTCCCTTTTACAAGATGAAAGGAGTTATTCTAGAAATGAATGGTAGTGATGGTTATATAACATTATGAATGTACTTAATGCTACTGACCTTTAAAAATGGTTAAGATGGGCCAGGTGTAATGGCTCATGACTGTAATCCAAGCACTTTGAGAGGGCAAGGCAGGAGGATTGCTTGAGCCAAGGAATTTGAGACCAGCTTCAGCAACATGGCAAGACCTCATCTGTACAAATAAACTAGCCGGGGATGGTGTTATGGCTGTGGGCCCAGCTACTCAGGAGACTGAGGCAGGAGGATCGCTTGAGCCCAGGAGGTGTGTTCATGCCACTGCACTCCAGCCTTGGCTATAGAGTAAGACCCTGCCTCAAAAAAACAAAACAAGACCTAAAAATGGTTAAGATGGGCTAATCGCAGTGGCTTACGCCTGTAATCCCAATACTTTGGGAGGTCAAGGTGGGTGGATCAGTTGAGGCCAGGAGGTTGAGACCAGCCTGAGCAACATAGCAAGACCCCCATCTCTACAAAGAAAATTAAAAACTAGCTAGGTATGATGGCATGTGCCTGTGGTCCCAGCCACTTGGGAGGTTAAGGTGGGAGGATTTCTTGAGCCCAAGAGTTCAAGGCTGCAGGGAGCTATTACTGCACTCCAGCCTGGGCTGCAGAATGAGACCTTGCCTCTTCCCAAAAAAAAAAAAAGGTAAACCTGAGAGCTTCCTCCTGTTTTAAAGATTTGAAGGGCCAACATGTTTTCACTTTTACAAATGATCAGGGTCAGTGAAGGTTGGGCATGGTAGCTCACACCTGAAATCCCAGCACTTTGGGAGGCCAAGGTGGGAAGATTGCTTGAGCTTGAGACCAGCCTGGACACCATAGCAAGAGATCCCATTTCCACAAAAATAAAAAAAAGTAGCTTGGCATAGTGGCATAAGCCTGAGCCCAGGTGGTCAAGCTGTAGTGTGCTGTGGTTGTGCCCCTGCACTCCAGCCTGGAGTCACAATCGAGATTTAGACCCTGTCTCTAAAGAAAGAAAATGACAAGGACAGTGAACCCAAGAGAGAAAGTCACAAGATGCCAGATGTGTAGCAAGCATAGAAACAGACCACTCCAAATTAGGACAGTGTGTTTTCCAAGAAGAACAACTGTAATGAGAATGCTTTGCTTTACATAGGCAAGTAAAAAGCTAGAAAACTAGTTACAGGGGATAGGCACATCTTTCTTCTCTCAACAGCAAAAAGAAAGGCAATTCTAATCTCTAGGAAAAGCAAACAGCATTAAGTCATGGTCCAAATATGAAGCAAGCCAAAATGTGGTTTGATTTCCAGCAGTTGATCTGTTGGGAACCCTTGATATTAAAAAGCTTCTCCTTTAAGTGGCTTCGGGGTCGCAATCAAAGACCTGTAGAAAGAGATGCCACCCTTCTAGGATCTTTGGCTCTGGTGGGAACTGTATTCACATAGTCATAATGTAAATACTGCCTGAGCTTTCATTTTTGGAATCCATGTGTGACTGAAACGCTGAAGACTTACTGACCTAATTATGGTTTCAGAACAGAATGAAAATTTTTTCATTTCTGATTAATATAAAAGGAAAATTAGCCAAGTTAATTTGGGAAGTAGATGGTAGAGATGGGGTAGGGAATGGATGGGGCACTAAAATCCGCATCTAGCATTGTTGAGGTTATGCGATTACATCATCTAAAGTTGACAGACCAAAATAGAGAGGCTACAAAGGTATCCAAATAGAACTAAAAATGTAACTCAGATTAGTAGGAGGTAGTATAAATGACTGAAATCTCATCTTTATTATGGTGGAATTAATGGGTAATGTCTAAAGTTGTTTGAAGTCTAAAAATCATGACAAGTCATGATGAGGTTATTGTATTCAATAATCTTTCAGTTGCAGGGGTAAAACTCCAGTTTAAACTAGAGGAAGAGAAAGAATTGATAGGTTTGACCGCCTAGAAAGTACAGACAAGAGTAGTAGTTGGTTCTCTTTAGGTAGGTGGGGCTGCATCTGATGTTTTCATTCTGTGATCTGCCTTGTATATTTATGCATCTTAGCTCTGCTTTCTCCTTTTAAATGTATTGTAATTTATATAATTTTTTTGAATTTTAAAGATAGGGTCTCACTTTGTCGCCCAGGCTGAAGTGCAGTGGTGCAATCATGGCTCACTCTAGCCTCAAACTTCTGGGCTCTAGAGTTCCTCCTGCCTCAGCCTTCTGTGTAGCTGAGACTATAGGCATGCACCGCTATGCCTGGCTAGGTTTTAAATTTTTTTTGTAGACATAGAAGTCTTGCTATGTTGCCCAGCTGGTCTTTAACTCCTGGCTTCAAGCAGTCCTCCCACGTCAGCCTCCCGGAGTGCTGAGATTATAGGTTTGAGCTGCCGCGCCCAGTCTCATCTCCACTTTCTGTGTTAGTTTTGTTCTCTGGTGGGCTCTTTTCACGTGGCAGAAGATGGCCTCTAGCAGGTTGTGTTCTCAGCCCCTCAGGTAGGCGTTCGATTGGCCCTGCATGAGTCATGTTGGTGATCATGAATCCCTGAACACTCTGGTCTGCCTGGGCCAAATGAGAGACTGGACAGCATTCCACTGATGAGGAGGTGGGGCTGGTCTCTGGGAGTAAGGGAGAGGAATGCAAGCAGTAACTGATGGTCTGCTGCAAGGGATAACAGCGCATCAATTAGAATTTTGGAGGTAACTACCAGAACTGAAAACAGAAATGCTAACAAGTAGTTGCCTTAAAAAGGAATGGGGAAGGTGCTTTTGTGATCAGAAGCTCCTTTCTCTTACTGGATTTTTGTATACATTTTGCGTACATACCCTTAGAGTAAAAGGTAGTTAGCGTTTTCAGCCTTGGTGCATTTGACGAGACTCCTGCGTGGCTGCCTCCATGCTAGCAGGCTCTGGGTCTGCCAGGGCTGGTTGAGCATCCTGGTTCGTGCCTGCATGGAACTTAGAGTCAGTGAGTCAGTATCACAAGTCTTGATATTTCCTATGAAGGAGAACAGTAGTGCAGTGACAGACAAAATAGGTGGGCAGGCAGAGGCAGGATTTCTGAGGGGGAGAAGTAGCTAGCTTTTTGCAGAGAAGTATTCTGGCACCTAAGAGTAGCTGAGAGTACAGGCAGGCAGGAAGCAGGTGGGGCCCGGCCGCCTGGCGCCACAGAGTTCCGGAGAAAGAGGCCTCTTCATGGCCGCTGATTCAGCTGCTGTCACCCTCCACACAGGCCATGGCCAAAATTTAATTTTGATAATGGACTCCAGTTTTTGAGCCTTATTTGCTATTATTGAAATAATTTTCTTGTTTCTTTTTAAAGATCTTTGGATTCTGCTTCACTGACCACTGTAATAAGTTTAAAGTTGAGGAAATATAGCTTCTTAATGAACGATAGGTCAGTTTTAGTATGTTGGTCATTTTTATATTTTGCTGGTTGGTTGGATCTGATGCCAGGAAGAGGTGGCTTCATTTCTAAGAATGAGTCTTGCCTTTGTGGGACAAGGGTTGTGTGTTCTGGGTCCTTCTGCATGTCCAAGCGATTTCTGTGCAGCTCAGAGGTGGTTACCATCTCTTTGCACTGATTTCCTCTCCTTCAATCCCAAAATTCAGGCAAAATATTTTTACTACTGTTGTCCAGTACAACTTCCAGCAAAGACAGGACGTCTGCACTGTCTCATTTAGCCACCTTTAGCCGCGTGTGGTGTCCATACCTGAAATGTGGCTGGTCTGATTGGGGAGCGTAATTTATAATTTTATTTAATTTTAATTAACCTACATTTAAACAGCTCCATGTGGGTAGTGGCTCCTGTGTGAGATAGTGCAGGTCTGTTGAGAAGCAGCTTTACTGGAGGGAATGGAGGGCTTGGAGAGGGCATATGGGTTTCTTGCTGGTGTCTTTGGACCTTATTTATTTGGTCCAGCATTTGCAAGTAAGTTGTCTGTGTGTATACATAAATGTCTGTTTCTATCTTCTTGTTTCATTTGACTGCATTTATTTGAAAGACACTAGGTGGCAGAATTACTGTATTTGGTTGGTTTTAAGATAAGAGTTGAAGTAATTCATCTTGTGTTTTTATCTAAGTTGTGTTTGACATGTAAAATTGGTCATTTGTGTTTATATACTGCTTAAACAAAGGCTATGAATTCCACCCATACACTGAAA